CTTCAATAATCAACATTTTTCTTATAAAAAACTTAATTTAAAAACGAATGCTTCTCCTGGTGACATTATTCTATTTTTAGGTTAGTTACTAGTGACATTTCAGAAAAAAGCGGTTGGTATTTGCCGTCGCCTACTATTTCAAATTCGTAATACACCACCAAAAACCAATTTACGATATAAAGAATGAAGGTAAAAAACATTTGAATTACTTCAGGAATATGGACTGCATCAGTCGTACCAACCATATCATTAACCTTAAAAACGTAAAATACAGTGATATGTAACCAAAAAGCAGCTCCGTACATTTTTTAACATTTTTATAAGAAAAATGTTGATTATTGAAGTGAAAAGTGTTAAAGAAGGAAGAATAAGGTGTAAAGGGGACCTAGTGATTAGATGCTTGTGTTTTTAATAGTTTATTTTGTGAAAAAGAAGGCTGAAAAGTTGCCCTTTTCTGAACTTTGAAGGGCCATAACTTTTTAAATAAGGGAGAGCGCCGCTTTTTTCTTTCGGATTCGTAATCTACGCATCAAAATACGTAAGTACAGTCAAAAATTTTTTCAAAATCGCCGGGTGTCCACATAACGAAAATTTACCTCATTTTCCATAGCATGAAACAAGCCATTGTTGAATGACGTCAACGGCGATCCATATTTGCCTACGGTCAAAACTGGCGAGGAATCATGGGTTATGACATCGAAATCAAAGTCCAATCAATCACGGCAAGTTCGATCAAATGTCAAGGTTTTGGTCAGTGTTTTCTTTGATTACCGTAGCGTAGGACAGTAGTTCTTGCCACACGGTTATATGGTCAATAAAGAGTATTATCTTGAAATTATACACCGCTTACGAGAAGCAATACGAAGAAAACCTTCAGTATTGTAGAAAAACAATTCATGGCTTTTGCGTCACGATAATGCACCAGCTCACTCGTCATTGCTTGTTCGTATTTTTTGGCCAAAAAACAACACCCTAATCATGCATCAGCCACAGTATTCATCAGATATGGTACTCAGCGACTTTTTTTCTGTTCCTAAGATTGAAGAGACCTCACGAAAGAAGATAAAAACCAAATCGAGATCAAGGACATACCAAAAAGTGCATTTCAGAACTTTTTCGAGGATTGAAACAAACGCTGACACAAGTGTATTATATCTGAAAGGGACTACTTTGAAGGGAACAAAATAGAAATTGATGAATAAAAAATTTTTTTTTAGCATAATGAAAATTCACCTTATTTTTTAAACGGACAGCTTATTTGAAATTCATAGTTTGAACTTGTCAACCATCGAAAAAATCGTCAACATTTCAGCAGATTTTCCAAAATACAAAATATCTGAAATAACTTCCGAATATTTTTGTAGAACTCTTCAAAATGAATCAGTCACTTTGAAATATCCAGTCAACTTGGAATTTCTAGGGTATCTCCCATAGGTACTATCGAAACAGAAGTGCATAAAACTGAAATTCTTTTTTTTTGTCGAAACTTCCACCCGCTTCGAGCTCATTTTTTTAAGAACGAAACACAAGCATTACAGGAAAATCCTCAAGGCGATCGTAGAGCGGTGGCTGTGCGAAAGTAGTGACTCACATTGAATTTGAATCGCTGAAAGATTAAATCCATTTGGAAAAACGTTCTCAGAAAGTTTATTCCATATAAACAAAGTTCTCCAAATGAACAAGTTTTTACACAGTGAAGTTCGTGGTATACTGAGTTGAACCTCAAAACGATGAGCAGTCACAGTCTGTCACGTATTTCTGATATGTACCGCTCTTGGTGGAATCAAATGTGCCAAGTCACTTGACTACTTCCCGTGACAGTATCTATAGAAGAGAGTCAAATCTCCAACCTTTCTTCGATGTTCCAGATTGCCAAGGTTGCACGTGATGTTCGCGTCTCCAACCAGACAGATAGTTTTTTTCTGGATAGAATCCAGCAGCTTCAGTGTATGTTTGGGGACGGAGCTCCCTGAGAATATTACTCCAAAGAAGGTCTGATTTGAGCTTCATAAAGCATCAAAAGTTGCTGAGGTGTGTACAGTTATCTGATTGGGAACAGAGTTCCAAGCTTTTGAGAAGCAGCCTTCACAATTTTAGCGACATGATTGTGCCAAGACATATTGGTGTCCATTTTGACCCCCAAAAACGTTTTGAAGCAGAAAGCGGAATGGTCTGTTCTGGCATTTTCACATCCGGTTCGGAAACATTTATCATTTTAGAGAAAACCGATGACTGGGTTTTTGTGGCATTGAATTGACTCTGTTTATTTTCACCCCAATTCGAAATCACTTCTAGATTGAAGCTCTTGCTACTGGTGAAAATGTACATCCGCAGCCGATGTCCTGGAATCCAAATATAATGACGAGACAAGTGTACTGTCATCAGCAAGCATTATATTGGATTATTAGTTTTTTTTCAATTAGTCGTTGATATACAATAAAAAGAGGGTTGGAGACAATATGGATCCCTGGGGAACATCAACGTTGTTGGTGAAAGTATTCGAGAGATATTCATCGACGGCCACTTGCAGGGAACGTTCTTCCAGGAAGCTGAAGAGCCATACACAAAAATGATCCGACAAACCATAGCATCGAATTTTGGCCAGCAAACCATCATGCCACACACAGTCAAAGGCCTTAGAAATATCAAGCGCAATAGCTCATGACTCTCCATGTTTCTCGATAGCGTTATTCTAAATATGGGTGACATACGAAAGAAGGTCGCCTGTTGATCTTTGTTTCCGGAAGCCATATTGATGATCGCTCAAGATGTTGAAGCCTTCTACATATTAGAGAATATGGTAGTTTACGGCTTTCTCTATGATTTTTATACCACCGATAGCAAAGCGACTAGTCTATTGTTATTGTTCTCGCCTTTCTTTTATTTTTAGTTAAGGACAGTCCGGCAACATAGTATTCTTCGGCTGACCAGAGAGTGGGAAAACAATTCAATGATAGAATATATTAACATCAATGCACATCGGGTTTACATTCCTCGACGGTTTTCTTTATTTTTTATGAGTTATTGCAAAATCTCGACAACCGTGCTAGGTTCGGCTAGCTGGTCCTTTCGATTTTAAGAAATTGTGGAATTGCTTATATTTCCTTAGCCCAACTTTCCTTTCCAACCAACTTTACCTAGTGAACACAGTTGGACCGACAAGCCAAGGAAAAGTATCAACAACCAAATCTCAATCTGTGAGTATAATTTTCAATTTCACAAATTTCCAACTGAGCTAAGAGGGAAAAGTTTTCTTTCTCTTTTTGGGAATAGGCTGCACGCGAGCAATGTTTCAAGAAGAAGGAAAAACCCCTTTCTTGTAAAGGTTGAAAAGTCTGCAAAATACTGATGCTAGTTCATTTGCGCACTTTTTAAGTAGGATGACGGGCACTTCATCAGGACCAAACACCTTGTTGATATTAGGCTGTTTCAAAATTCGCCAGACTAGACGCTGTCGAAAACTAATTTCCGGCAATGTGAATTCTAGTGTGGAAATATTGGGAGGTGCCTTTCGCAGAAAATCGACTGTGTAGTGAGACGCAAATTGTTCAGCTAGTTTTAAAAAAAATCTGTTTTTCCGTTAACCAGCTGTCACACCCCTACGAACGACAAACTTCGGAAGCTATTAGATTTGCCTGGCTTTTCTATGGTGTTGTTGTAATTAAACCATCCGCTTGTGTTAGTGGTGGAATTGTGGATTTTGTAAAGTTCTGATTAAAGGCTTTAGCTACTGACCAGAAGTATTTAGACCCATTGGGATTGGCAAGCAGTTTATCCCTAATTCTCTGATTGTGAAGTTCTTTGCTTTCATTTATCCTAAGTTGGCAGCTGTTGTGAGCAATAACAAACCTAATACAGTTTTCGTCATTGGGATTTTAGCGCCACTGCCGTTAGGCGAGATTTTTGGAGGCGACAGCTTGCTCGAAATTTTTGTTGAACCAAGGTTTGCCGTTAGAAGGTCGTTCTATCATCCATGGATGATAGAATAATTTTCGTGACTTCAGAAGCACAAGTTGATGGATATTTAGAGCTGAAACAAACATCTAGCCAGGGGAAATTTCGTAAATGGTCTTGAAGACCCTTATTGCATTCGGCTGAGCTGTAATGCCAAACTTTGCCTGGCTTAGATTGTTTCCCAACATTTATCGGTAATTCACTCAACACTGAATTGAGTTTGTGGTCAGAAGATCTCAATGGAGACCTTACGGTGACTGAGTAAATTTATGGATTGGCTGTTAGGTATAAATCCAGCAGACTAGCATATTCTCCATCACGGTCAGGAATCCTGGTCTTTATCAAGACTTTATCACGGGCTCAATAAATGGTTAAAATTTCAGACATAATACTAATTAAGTTTTTTCTTCTTCATAAATAAAAATAAAATAAATACAAGGTTACTTAATAGCGGGGAAATATGGGAGGAGATCCCATTTGCTACTGGCAATCCTCTGTCTTTTGAAAGTTATCTTTGACAATACCTCTATGGATGATAGATAAAGAAAGACAGGTGTATAGACAGAAAAAAGACAGATGATAGAATCTACACAAAAAAATAATATTTTTAGATTCTGAACTCTCTCCAATGCTAATTGGGGAGACCCCTCATCACTTCAGGTTCTGTGTCTGGTTCATGTTTCGTCTGGAGCTGAAGAACCTTGAAAGTATCTACATATTTTGGGATGATTGTCGTCTTTGAAGTTTGTGGTTTGATTATTACTTATATTCACCATCGTATGGGTAACAGTTCATTGTAGTGACGGAGCTTGTCTGAAAGTGTCACAAATGTTTGAAGGTAGGTTTATCTCCTTTGAGATTCCAAAATGTAATCAAAAATAAAAATGTACGAAGAAAAAAATTTCTGAATTTGAAGGTCGGAGCTGTTGTTACTTAATTATTCATAGAATGATTACACAAATTAACAAAGACATTTGAAATATTGTCTGTGAATAGATGTCTGTTTATCCACTATGAAATTAAGGGAGCATGATTGTTTTACTTACGATTTGGAATGAATGCCATTGCAGCGCCACATATCATCTCCAGAGCCCCAACCGTCCGTCTATACCATTTTGATGGGATCTTGAAATCCATCATTTCGGAGAATGGGAATACTTTGGCATATTTCACGTATTCCTTTCTCTGAAAATATGAAAACAAATATCACCTGTTATGTTTCAAAAATATATTTTGTACTGAGGAAGCTACAGTGTTAGCGAAACGCAATGTTTGTGAAATAATTATTATTATGGTTATTCTCAATTTATCGATCTACAATAAAAATATAGACCAATGAAGGATCGTGTACGATATCATACAATATCTTTGTTAAATCCTCTCAATTCAATTTTCTATTTGTTGAAGATACGTTGTTGAAGTGAGCATTGAAGAGTTCAGAGAAACTGCACGTCTTCAGATTTTCAATAGACGGATTCACTCATTTATATATACTGAAAAAGTTGACATATTTGTCAAATCTTTGAAGTCAATATTGTTTTTTGTTGAACTAAGCAAGAATTGAATTCATAGACCAACGTTAAGTTTTATTTGAATTTTGCCAAATATTTTCTAATCGTTTTTATTGCGAATTAAAAAAGAAGCATGTAGAAAGATGTAAAAGGACAAAGAACTCAAAAATTTAAAGATTCAGAATAGCCTGGCTTGACATTTAAGAAGTTCCAATTTGAATTATTTCACATAGAATTATGAATACTCTGACCCATTATTTGATGAAACTTAAAATTCAATGACCTTTATTCTTGACCTTTACTCAAGACGCATTTCAATACACAGTTGTTACTTCGGTTGCACGTGTTTCTCCATATGGAATGGCTTAGAAGTTCTATATTACTGACTGGTTCAGTTTGAAGACACTACTGTGTAGTGTACCGCGTTTTGAGTGAAATAATGTTCTAAATTATTCCCCGAAATAAAATAATACCGGCCGCCGCTGGTCTTCGTCAATCAACTATGACTTGACCACTTGGCTAAGGTCGCGCCTAACTCGACTTGCCCTTCTCTAGATGTCGCGTCGCTTCGAGAGGCTTTCAGAGACTTCCATTACGATATATAAATACAACCAACAAGCAGATTGGGAAAGTCTAGTTGAAAATGCGGTATGAAGTAATCTAATGAGACGATAGACATTTGAGAATTTCTCTGGAGTTTCAAGTAAAGTGTGTGTGTTGTATTGTACGAGTAGCAGTGAAATGAAATTGCATTAAATTGTACATTGTGGACAATTATTGTCAAACCCACAGGGAAAACGTGACAATAATATGAAATACGTCTTGAGTACAATTCATACTATGAAAGTTATTAAATTAAGGTCATAGAATTTAATGGCCTACATTGCAAATGAACGTTTCAGTTGGTAAATCTGCTATTTTTTCAAGGACAAAACACAAGCACTACAGGAAAAAAGGCGCTCCCAGAGCGGTGCCTGTGCGAAACTAGCGATTCATATTGGATTTGAATCAATGGGGATTGAGTTCATTCAGAAAAACCAGGCATTTGGCAATGATAGTGTTGATGAACGCACTATTCGACTTTGGTTTGCGAAATTTTGTCCCTGAAATTTCAGTCTCAAAGATGAGCCCCGAAGTGGTCGACCTACAGAAATCCAGAACGAGGTTTTGATAACCCTGGTGGAGACTAACCCATCGCAAACGGTGTGTGGGATGGCGGAAGAATTGGGCGTTAGCTCTCATGCGATTTTTATGGTTCAAAACGCATTGGAAAGGTCAAAAACCTCGAAAAGTGGGTACACCATGATTTGAACGTTCGACAGAAGTTGTCATGTTTAGAGGTCTGTTCTTCATTGCGTTTGCGCAACCCAAACCACATGAGGCGTTCAGGAAAATGGTTGGACACCGATGAGCCACCTAAGAACTTCACAAAGGCGAAAATTCACCAAAAATGATCATATTCACTGTATTCCTGTATTTACTGTATACCGTTCCGCAACCGGGTTGAACGAAGCCTGAGAACGCGGTTTAAATGCTGAAGGAATTAATCGACATGGATTACGTTGGCAAACGTGGCCTGATTCAAATGGCGCTTATTTCGATTGAATTTAATACGTATTCACGGACAGAAAACAAACTAATGCCTTTCAAATTTTGAACAGGACGAGATATCAGAGTCGGAAAAAATTACGTGAAAAAATATAATTTTGGTACTTTGCGATCACCGCTCTGTTCACTACTCTTTCATTTTTGGAAGTCGGGTTAGCCATTCCCCAAAAAAAAAGTTTTTCAAAACTCAAAACTCAGTTTCAATAAATGTTCCAAATGATTACCAACTGACAATAATGAAATCTCATTTCCTACATTATGAAATTTTCCATGAGTAATTTCATTGCATCGTACACTTGTGTACGTGTATCGTACACTTCTGATGTCATGCATCCCCTCAAAAATATCTATAGGCGTCATTTCAGGTAATCTAGTCTGCTCCTCTAATGGGCCACGAGTGCTTGTCTACCGGTTTGGATAATTGACGAACCCAAATGTTTTGAAAGTGGCTATATGACAATTATCCAAACCGGTGGATAGGCAAATGTGCTTTCTCAAAATGACCTGCTAGATTATCCAATATGACGCTTTTAAATTTTTTTGGAGATTCGTGAAATCTAAAGTACACAACCGCAGTCTATTTCAAAGATCATAATTGGAATAGGAGGTGATCCTAACGAAATTACCCAAGAATGATGAACATTTTGACATATTAACTGGAATGACTTTAGAATACAGTTTTTTTTTCAAATAATGACATTTGCCTATCGCTTTTTTGCAGATCCTCAAAAATAATATAAAAGTGCTAATTACTCATTATCGGCTGATTCGATTTCCAACAATGAAAAATAGTTAAGTTGATAATTGAATGCATATCAATCCTCCCCCCATTCCATTTGAAAAGAATCTTAGTGTCGTTCTCTAGGCGACAAGCGATGCAACAAAAAAACTAAAAATGATACCTTTTTACGTTAATTTTGTCCGACCTTAATATCTTATCCTTTTCGAAAGTCAAGAACGCAGGAACTATTTACGTCCGGATTGTATAAAACAAAGTGACCTATCATATTCCAAATTTGCGACATTATCTTGAAATGACAAAATGTTTATCTAAGGCGGTGCCAGAACTTTTTGGCTCGATCATTTTGATGGAACGCTATGAATGTTATACGAGTTCCATTTTCAAGATTTCTTGAATTTTTCGTTATACAATTTCTTGCTTTCTCTGAATTAATCCCATAATTCAATTCATTCATTATCTTGGGGACGGAATCGGGTCAGTGTAAAATCTGGACCGCTGAAACAAACGCTATGTGCATCTATCGTCTAGGTAAGTGACCAGTGTTCGAGCAGAGTTTTCCTCGACATGTGAAGATGATCACTTGGTGATCGAAACACGTATTGAGGTATTAAAATAACGGTTTGGTATTGGGAAAAAACTCCAGTAATATTCATTACTACACCAAAGGTTCCAAACAGTGCATCACAAGACGTTTTCTGCTAAATCCACTGCAGTGCTAGAGAATCGCACGTTTGAAAAGTATTGAGATCTCTTTTGCCATTCGTAGAGAGATGGCAATTACAAACACATATCAAACCTAAGTTGAACCCATATTCAAACCTCCGGTCCATTTTACATAGTATATTTTCTTTTTTTGGGAAAGAAAGTTATTGGCTTTCTACTACTCCATCTTGTTACAAAAAACAAGGATGAGGGAATCTTCCAAGGAAAGGAAGGAAGTAATCAATTTTAAAATAAGTAACTCTATACATGGATGTGTAGATCATGCAAAGAAGTAACTTTCATACACAAACTGAAAGAAAGTCCTCCTGAAACAGCTACTTTCATATAAACATTGAATTACACGAAAGAAAAAAATTCTTTCGAAACAAATACTTCTATATGAACACTGAATTATTCAGAAGATACTTCTCTCTACTCAGTTTGTATTTTGAACATTTGATGTGAAATAAAAATCAGATATCATTCACATGAGTTCTACTTTAAATGAATAGTAATAAATTGCACTTACATGGAACACTGTCACCCTCACTGGTATACACCGATGTATATTTCGTGACATTAAAAATCATAATTCATGAATGAATTGTGTGTATTTTGTATAATGTTATCCAATTTAGTACTGAAGAGCCTTAAGGCAAGTGTCTTACGGCGAAACATCGATGTCTACCAGTGAGGATGACAGTGTTCCATGTAAGTGCAATTTGTTATCATTCATTTAAAGTAGAACTCCTGTGAATGATATCTGATTTTTATTCCATAACGAATACAAACTGAGAAGAGGAAAGTATCTTCTGTATAATTCAGTGTTCATATAGAAGTATTTGTTTCGAAAGAATTTTTTTCTTTCGTATAATTCAATGTTTATATGAAAGTAGATGTTTCAGGAGGACTTTCTTTCAGTTTGTGTCTGAAAGTTATTCCTTTGCATGATCTACACATCCATGTATAGAGTTACTCATTTTAAAATTGATTACTTCCTTCCTTTCCTTGGAAGATTCCCTCATCCTTGTTTTTTGTATCAAGATGGAGTAGTAGAAAGCCAAAAACTTTCTTTCCTAAAAATTAATCACTCCTAAAAATATAACCCCTTCAATTCTAATATATTTTCTTGTGGTAGGGTTGTTCCTGATCCTGAACTTTGAGGTGAAAACTCGCCAAATACTGTTGTCACCAATATTCATATAATTTTCAACATTTTGGGAGAAGAGTTTTTTTAAAACTTGGGAAGAATCATGACGATCGAAACATCATACGATGAACTGCTAGAACGAATTGATCACAGTTATTAGTTAACCGTAACCTTCAAAAGACACGTATACAAATTATCAGCTCTAGGACTATTATTTTATGGGATAGAACATTTTGAGTGCAGCAACTTTTATTGGTTTGAAGAAAATAGATGAAAAGGATTTTCGTGTGTTAATAAAGTATTGCTTTTTGGCGAGAAAAATATAGTTGAAGCCAAGGCTTGGCTTGGTGAACATTATTCGGACTTTGCACCAGGAAAATCAACCGTTGATAACTGCTTTGCTAAGTTTAAACGAGGTGCAATAAGCACCGAGGATGATATACTAAATGGACGTCCCAAACGTTATTGAAGCATTTGAAGGACGTAATCGCGGAAAAAAGGCCTCAGTTAATAAAAATAAAGTTATGTTCCATCAAGACAGTACACAGTGTCATAAATCAATGAAAACGATGGCAAAATTGCATGAATTAGGCTTCGAATAGCTTTCGCATCCTCCGTATTCTCCAGATCTGGCCCCAGCAGCTTTTTTCTGTTCTTAGACCTCAAGAGAATGCTCGCTGAAAAGAAATTTAGCGCCGATGAAGAATTAATCGTCGAAACTGAAGGCTATTTTGAAGCTACTGAATAATAAAATCAAATTGTATAAAAAAATTTTTTCTATGTTAAACTGCGAACTTTTTATTCCAACTGTAAAGAGGCATCTGATGATTATAGAACCGTAGTATCAGTGAAATTGGTCTTATTTCAACTTTAGATAGATTTAATCCTGTCAGCTGTTCGTCAATATTGAAAGAAATATTTTGGTTGCTCGTTTGGTTGAATAGAATCGATAGATTGAGGAAAAAGTTGCAAGATTTGAGCTCGATATATCTTTTTGTCGAATGCTTTAGGACAAAAAATTTATTCGAAATGAAATAAATCAAACAATCAACTTTCAAGTTGGGCGTGTGAACTAAATTTATGAAAGTTGTTTTTTTGTCCATATCCAGTTAATTATTAACTTATTTTATAATCACCGCTTCCAAAATTATCTCCTCTTAATATTATCTCAAACATTTTGATGAAGAATACTCACCTGGTCAGTTGAACAGATTTCAGTCACGTGTTTCACATTCTCAAAATATTGAGAGATGTTTATGGGATCATGAAAAACAATTTTGAACACAGTTGCTGTGCAATTCATCTTGCATTTCTCATCTCATGACATCAAGAAAACATCTCTTTAAAATTTCAGATATACTGCATGGTCATTTCATACATCCCATATATTCAAATGGTTTGATTTTTCTTTCGATCTTAATCTTAATTTATCGTTATTTTTAATATTACTATAACTGTACACCTAACATTCTTACATTTAATAGTAATTTAATTCTCAAATCTGAGAAAACAACAGATGCTTTTGTAATTTCGATTCCAAACCACGTATTCATTCTATAGTGATTTAATTCTCAAATCTGAGAAAACAACAGCTGTTTTCGTTAATTTCGATTCTAAAACACGTATTCTGAAATTATTACTTCACACAAGCCTTTTCAAAAATGTTTTTTCAACAATAACATTACAATTTTTCAAAATGAGTTGACCCTTTCGGCATTTGAAACTTCTCTGAATATTCTTTCGAATAATATAATCTGACTCATCACTGAAATGCGTTTTTCCTAATTACTGGCACAGTTTGAAAATTTTCGCCTTGCAAATAACATGACGTAAATCCGCATCGAGCACAATAAAATAATTTCTCCGCACATTTAAAAATATTTGCAACAACCTAGCCAGGCATTCGGCCAAAAGTTTTGAATTCTCTCATATGAGTATTGTGTAATAAAAAGTTCAAAAAAACAAATAATGAACAACTCCAATATTAATTAAAAGCTCACCAGATCTTTGTGTAAATCCTTTGAAAGCACACTAGATATTTTAATCAAACCCACAAAAATGAAAAACAAACCCAGCAAAATCGATAGCGACCTCAGAACAATTGAACCCATCTTTTGATTGTTCATTTTTATATACTATTATTCACGTATCACTGATAACACATATTTTCAAATTTATTCAAAAAGTTAGTCCTTTCTTTCAGTTAAACCCAGTTACAATTCAGTTTGTTTTTTGGATACGCGGCATCTCCATTTTGAACGTCGCGACGCTTTGAGAAATCAATATTCCGCGCGTTTCTGTCTACTAACAGTTCTAAAAATATTACGCGCCATTTTTCAATTTAACCGATGAAGAGCGGAACTTTATATTTCATATAAATTATTTATAATTTGAGATTTATTGAGCTAACGTTTTGTTTAGAAGAGTGTCTGCAAGTCGATTAATACAATGTATTGAATACATAAACTTTATATTATTTGAAAATAATTCGAAATTGATATAACTAATGGGGCATAATTACGTTTGCCTTCAATTTATACCCCATTTTGATGTCTGATCTAGTCACCGTGAAGCAAGTCAACAAATCGTGGGTTGCCATTGTATATAGATTAAAATCATTTCAATAATTTAAGTTCAAAATGTCGTATAAACTTCACAATTCAGTTGGACGGGTTATTCAATAGTGAACTATTCATAGGGTGAAAAGAAAACGTAAAAAATAAGAAAAAAAATATGAACCAACCATCAAATACTTCAAGGAGAAATATAAAATTAATGGTGGAATAAAAGTAATTGGTGGCCAAAGAACAATTTCCGAATATTTTGTTAATTTTGTCCAACAGTTCAAAATTTCTATGAAAACTGTAAAATGTATCTCTCTTGAGATCATAAAATATCCAGTTAGGTGGTTATTTTTTATTTCGAGCTCTTGGCCCATCATCAGTATGGTGCGGCCAAGTGTAAGGATGGCAACAGTTGGTTACCAAAAGAAAGAAAAACAAATGCACGGATCCACCAGCAGGAGCATGCCGCACATTTGTGGTTTCAGTTAATAGATCTTGTGTTGACAAGAAAACTATCGAAATCACCACGGAGACAGCTATAGCTACCCGCGTGACATCTGGATCCATTTCGAAACGCGTGTCTATGGTTTGCCAGTTTCTTGAGTGCTATGTCCGATTATTAACTTCTGTATCTGTATCAAGTCACTGAATAACCTTCATATTTGTATTATTTCCTGGACCCGGATGTCACGCAGGTAGCTATAGATGCCATATTGGTGATTTTGATAGTTTTCTTGTAAACACAAGATCTATTAACTGAAACCACAAATGTGAGGCTGGCTCCTGCTGGTGGATCCGTGCATTTGTTTTTTTTTTTTGGTAACCAAGGTGTCGGATATAATTCAACGCCCTTCGTGGTATTAGCCAGAGAAGTAGTTGTTTTCTAATAGGTGTCAATCAATTACCCTACAGTGTAGGGAGTTGAGACTGGCCTGAACGAATTGTTCTTTTAGATGATTTGATTTATTGAGTATCAATGATTTGCGCAGTATATATTTTTCGTTAGTTCAATCCCTCTCAATGTATGGAAATCTAGGATGGGGTGGGGTCAATAGTACAACTGTACAACCGCTTATGGTACTACAGAAACAATTTCTCAAAATTATCTACAATTTGAATTTTCGTTTCCCATCGGCACAAATATTTCAATATTGTGATCCTTTCAAACATTTATTAATATTTATATTTCACAACAGAAATAAGTTCATAAATCATCAACTTTGATATGAAACCCGAATTAAAGCGAGTAATTTAGGTATACCGAAAATGAACAAAGCTATTGGACAAAGATTAATTACATATATTGGACTCAAATTATACAATCTTGTTCCAGATCATATAAAAACGGAATATGTGTTTAAGTTATTCAAAATTTCAGTGATGGAATGGCTCAAAAATGAAAATATAACATTACTATGAACAAATTCTATTGAATTAATGTCTCAATTTTCATATATATTTATCATCACTACCTAGCATTTTGAATACTTTCAATTTAAAACGAGTATGTATTATATATTGTAACATTCATATTTTTATTTGTTTACACATTTGAATTTTTACGTTTTTTATGTTCTACTATATGTTCATTTACATGTTTAGAGATTTTATACTTTTGATTTTATATTTGATGTGTCTTTTTCATATTATTCACTACTTTTTGGTAAAAAAAATAATATCAATATTGTTAATACTATTTAGTATTTCAAAATACATTATATTTTAACCATCTTCATCACAGTCGAATATTTTTGGTCGTTGCTGTATCGTTTGATGGAAAGCTCAAAAGAAACAAAATAGGGAGCACGCATATGCCTCATTTTTAAAATATTTTGATATCAACAAGTATATTATCCTAATGAAGCTTTAATTTATAAATAAAACTTCAATTTCTTCATAATGCAAATGTGAAAATACAGAATTTTTAATCCTACTGAAAAAGGTGCCCCTGTTGTGATCGGATGGAATGTGCCAGAATTTCTTTTATGTTTAATAATCAATGAGAATATTGTCCTTTCTTTTGACATCCTGTACATTTCAATAATTTTGTTGTAAGTTTTTCATTAAAGTTCTTCGTCCTAATCGAATAAACCATGTTTAGAAGCGAGCAACGCTATTATCCAGAAATCTCCAGCAAGTCATTAGTCGGTGATGCTAACATCAGTGAACTGTCACTAAAATTACATTGTTTTGTGATATAAATGCTTAGTAAATTCATTGAACTACTTGGGGGATATAGTGCATTTCTGGAAAGTGTATGGAAAAAGCCTTGATTTAGATTTCAGCTTACATCATTATTGAATGAACACTATAAATAACAAAATTATTTGAAGGTGGTTGACAATGTTTCGTGGTGCATTTCAATAGTTCGGACTTCCATTGTTTAATGTGATATAAATTGATTTGAAATGCCAGAAATGGCATTACTCCAAAGTGATGGTGGAACAGTATTTAGCTAGAAGACAGCAAGAGCTCCACAAGGAAGAGAAGCCATCAAAACCTACATCAGAGGATTGTCGGAAAGGATAAAAAAGGATTGGGTCCAAGTATAACATCAGAACCTGATTCAGATCTGGGAACACTATCCGTAGCAGCCTCACGAAAACCAGGCCACCAAACGCAGACTGCGATTCCAAGAATTGCATTTACCGGAGAATCATACATCGGTGGAACTAAGAGGCCATTGAAAGTTCGCATTGCCGAGCATAAGAAACACACACAGCAATGAGTCATATTAGACAATGGAAGTTCAAACTAATGAAATACAAAATTACTTTCTGCAACTCAAGTAATTTTTTTTGCCAGTTGGTGAAACAAATCTTGTCATTTACTTCTCCAAAAGCTGTAGGAATTGTCAAAAAAATCGATCATGGCGGACAGAGCTAGAAACGCGGATCAGTACATTAAAAATACAAGAGAGAGTTACAAAGTCAAAATGACGGATCTCACGAAGTTCGTGACAGATTTTAAGCATTATTTAAACACGATAATAGATATCAGTGCGGCAAAGCTGAAAAGTCATCGTAGAAACTGAGTAAATCTGCCGTTGGTCAATTTGCTGCTTAAAAGTTGGTCTAATTTGCACTATACTCTGTCCAACCAGGCAACAGAGTACTCCAAAAGATTATCATGCATAGTGCACGTGATCTCCCAGACAAGGCTGCTTGTACAGTCAAAATAAAAAACGACCGAATTTTTTTTATCGCAGTATCGTATAAAGAATATATATCAAAAGGGTTCCACGAAGTTTAAAATTCATAGGCCAATCAAAGCTTTACTTGAAATTTTTAGTTATTGAACTTTGAACATTTTATTAAAACAACGATAAAAATAAAATAAAAACAACAATAAAAATTAATTGGCGCTCCGGGGAGACTTCATTGATTCCAGTGGCGCATTTGCTTTTTCAGCTGCAGGAAAACCCGGAAAAACCTGCAGCACCACATCATCTGAAGATCTTGATCTAACAATGTCCCCTCTCTTATAAAACAAATTGTAGGGTGTCTCCAGAGGCTCCAATAAATTCAATGCATCGCCAGAACACTTCGTGACACGACTATCGTCAAACTTAAACCAGTCCGTTTCGTCTTTGACCAAGGCGTAATAATGACCGAATTCAACGCCAGAACCACAGTGAACAATGACTGCATGAATATTATAATAGTGGTCTGCTAGGTTGAAATGTTCATCTATTTCGAACCTTCCAAAGAGTATCTTGCTTCTGTTAGAGGTTGAGTCTTGTTTGAAAATCATCAGTGTTATTATTAGATTGACTGGTGCCTCAGCTTTACTTGTTTCCTTATAACAGTCAGTTAGTTTGGCGCATGTTTGACAATACAGTCGATCATCACCTGTTAAAAATTCCATTTTCAGATGATTTAACAGTAAGCTTTGCACAGACTGGTTATTAGTCATATTAGGAAAAGCTAAATGAAGATCCAGAAATTCACATAAGTTTTCGGTACTTCTTGAACATTTACTACAAAGTAAACAAGTGAGGATTTTTCCAGCAAAATATTTACAAACATAAGACGAGATGGGCAGTACGAAATCATTCAATCCAGAGCGGTCAGGAGTATTGATTTTGCTATTGTTTTGCTCACGAAGAGTAATTCAACAAGAACCCCAAGAATTCGGAACAATCCTCTTGTTGTCCTAACGAGTATCTAGTAGACTTCAAAGACTCCAGGAAATCGGTTGGAGGGAAAGATGATACCTTCTTACGAAACTGCAGCTGAATGAACAGGTGTTTGAGTTTGATGAATAAGTAGGAAACATTCCCGTTCTCGTTCATCATTAAGAACTTCGTTCTTGAAATTCTTCGTCATGAACAACACTTGTAAAATGCTATTCATGTAGCAAGTGTTTCCTAAATTATCCAATCCAATTTTCTTCTCTAGATTTTCAGGACAACTATCTACTGATTCGTAAGGAAGAACATTATGTGGCTGGATATAGAATAATTTCAGGTGGAGTGTAGGGACACCAGTTAGCAGTTTCTTCAGCCGTATCGGTACTTGATATTTTAAAATTTTCAAACTTTAAAATACCGTAAATGTTCACACCACAGGCGTTAAAATGTTATTGACCACTCCGATACTGTAACAATGAATTCCGCCAACTGATTGCAGTTAAATCTGATTGTCCAGCGTAAGGAGTCTTGTATATTTTACCCAACAGATGCAAATGAGCGTCATGATCATCATTTGATCACGCATCTATCATTTTTTGGGTTGTTTTCTTCTTTGGATTCGACAAGAAACGTTGTCAACCATTGACATTCAGCTATATCTCATGCACATTTTTTGGAAAAAAAAATTAAATAATAATGCAAAAATTCCAAACACATATATGTTGAAAGGGTGCTGGTATAATTAACAGTATTTCGACTAATATAATTTACAGGCAAATCAAAAACAATCATATGAAAATATCAAATGAATATGAATTATCGATACTAAAATAGAATATTTCATGAAAAACTTACAAAAATAGTGATAAAAAAAGAATTACTGAAAAAATACAGGTTTGTATACAGGTTGTTTCAAAGGTTTTGTCCGTTTCAATATCATGTGTTTTTGTAACTCCATATCTCAATAGATACTCGTATTTATTCTACTGTATCGTGTTATGTTCTGATCGATAGAGAAATTTATACTCTATACTATACGTTGATGCTGTCAATTTTTTTCCAAATTTTTGATTTTTTTCCAAATTTTAATTGTTTTCTCCCTTTTTAGCTTATTAATATATGAAATCGTTAAGTGATTTTCGGCCAATTTTTTTCTAGGACGAGGATTTGAGGACCCTGGTGAAGACGTATCCATCACAAATGGTGCGTGGGATGGCGAAAGAATTGGGCGTCAGCTCTCATGCGGTTTTTGATGGTTCAAAAGGTATTGGAAAGAGTTCAAAAAGTGTATGCCCACAATTTGAACGATCGACAGAAATTGTCACGTTTCGAGGTAGGTATGTTCTTCATTTGCTGTTGTGGATCGGATCGTCACATGTAATGAAAAGTGGATCATCTACGACAACAGGAGACGTATGGGGGAGTTGTTGGACACCGATGAGCCACCCAGACACTTCCCAAAGGCGAAAACCCACCAAAAAAACGTGGTTATTGTATGGTGGTCAGCGGCTGATGTGATTCACCATAACTTTGTGCAACCGGGCCAAACCATCACAGCAGAGACCTATTGTGAGGAAATCGGGAAAATATACCAAAAAATGCGTCAGCAGCAGCCGGCACTGGTCAACAGTACGATCTTGCTCCACGACAACGCCCGTCCACTTTTTCACAAATCATCTTTTGAAAATTGAACGGATTTAGCGTCGAAGTTCTGCCTCACCCACCATACTCCCCAGTCACCTCTTGGAAATCGACTACCTACCATCTTTTCATGCACTTTGATAACTTTCGCCAATCTGGACCAGGCAAAAACGGCCTTCGTCGACTCGATCGAATCTCGAGCACCCAATTTTCATGCTGATGAAATTAATCGACTTGTGTTACGTTGGCAAAAGTGCACTGTTTATTTTATTTGAATGAAATAAGTATTCAGCGAGATATTACAGTTCAAAGTAGACTAATAAAAACGGACAAAACTGTTGAACAACCTAAGTAATGTGTGTACCTATAGTATATAAAGTTCCAATTTCATTTTTCAAAGAAAAAAATATACCTAGGATTTAAATCGGTTCATTTGGTTTGGCAGAGCCGCAAATAGATAAAAATTCACATAGCTCTTTGTTTTTCTTCGCTGTTAGTGAAGGTGAAGCCAGTTGCTCTCAGTCTCAGTAGTATTTTTCCATGTTTGTTACTGTAAAACCGTAATGAAAATAGCAAAAAATTAATAATTTTTAATGTTCTTGCTGCCACGTCTAAAAGAGAAATTGATGCAAATTGAATAGATTCTTTTTTCAACGTACTAATTTTGATATATCTCAATTTTGAAAAACGCTTTTGTATGAGAAAGACACAAAAAACGAATCAATTCACCAGAAAAATCAGATATTTGGTTGGGTGCCGAAATTGTGGATTTTTTCGAAAAGTTCTTTTCCCTGCAGTCGTGGCTTGCAAATATTTTTTTTATTATCCACCCTATACAGTTGAAAATGATGAGTTAGCTCTTCCTCAAATCACTATCCAAGTTCTCAAGTTCGTAAGTTCGTTGATGAATATGAACTTTACAAAATATCTAAAACTTAAATCATCTTCCAATATCCAACAAGGTCAAAGAAATTTCACAAACTTATTGTATAAAGAGTGTCAAACAGTTTGTAAGAGACCTAGCGAAGCCTTAATGGAAACAGAAGTGGCTATAACTGTATGTATCTGTCGGTCGGTAGCCGGTCGGTTCGACGTGGGTGCTTTGTTCACTCACTCAAATTGATCGCCGTGTTGGTCGGTGGTTCAAGCCCCAGGCTGAACTATCGGTTTTTCACTTGCTATCGTCCAACCCGTGTTAAGAATCACATGTTAAAAGGTAAGACCTCGTTAGTTCTTAGCTCGCACAAGTTTCGAATTCTGAGGGTTGTCGTTCGTAGGGGTGCGATAGCTGGTTAACGAAAAAAAAAATACCTTTTGGTAATCTAAATTGATGAGAGGCAACCTAGAAATAAGTAATAGAAATTTAATTCAGGTAATTACATATTTTCATAATTATAAACATTGACTCATAAATAAGCTATTACAAATGCTGAGCTACCTAAGCAGAGCTTGAGTTATAGTATCAACCTATAAAAGTCAGAGAGGTTGACGCTGAATTGTTCAACTAATTCAAGGTATTACCTACAATTTGAATATAGTTTATATCTATAGCCTATGGAGAACTTCGATTAGGAATCCAATTCATATACAGTTTTCTTTCAGATTTGACTCGAATTTTTATTTATTAAAGATTGATCCAAATTCTGTAGGAAATAGGTTTATCACTTTTGGGCCAGATATATGATATAAATATTTCGAGTGCAAATTAATCTACAGTGAGTGGCATTCGTTTTTTAATGAAGTTTCGCTCGGGTTTTTTTATTATGATTTTAATTGGGGGTAGGGTTATTATGCATCCATAGTATACAGTCATAAGTGTATAATTTTCTCACATCAAATAAGTCTTTGTAAAGTGCTACAGTGAAATACTTTTTAACGATTGAAAATGATTATCAGGATATTATTTTGCATTACCTCTAAATTATATAACAGGATTTTGCTGAAACCACCCGCCTATATTATAATGCAATACTTTAGAATTGATTCTGCTAGTGAAATATATATCATTATTAATAGCTTTTTTATTCAGATTTCTGAGTTGGTAGAATGTATAAGTCTGGTCTACATGTTCGTCCCATCGCAGATGTTGCTTTACCTCATTAACTTTAGGACATGTGCATATCATTGGAGTTTGGCAAATAGGTTGATATATAGTGAGCCTATTCTTGGAATGTTGATCTTTATATGTGGGGGTGAACGTCACATACTTAGTTTTAGCGATGTTTAGGCTCAAAAGACTTGTGTTCAACCAAGAGAAAACAGATGTGAGTCCCCTTTCAGCTCTCTTATAGACGTCCTCCCTCGTATCGCCTAGAAATGACAGAGCTGTATCGTCTGCATAAGATATAATGCTGCCTTGGATGGTTTCACGTTTGCAAATGACATTAATGTATATTAAGAACAAAATTGGGCCTAGTACTGTCCTCTGGGGGACGCCCATAGTTATAGGTAGTGGATTACTATAAATATTGTTAATTTTAATAATCTGATTTCTGCCAGATAGGTAATTTTCAAAAAGGTTAAGATTATTCTTCTTACTATAATGATTTCTAAATGCCTCAGTGAGATATCATTGACAGTGTCACAGGCTTTCGAAAATCTATAAAAACTTTAAGGCTCTTTTTCTCAATATTGAAATTATTACATACACTGTGAACCGATTGAAAGACAGCATTATTCTTCTATAGGAAATGAACAAGTCTATTTTGCAAGCATTTTTAAAAACTTTAGCAAATCGTTCGTGATAGTTATTGGCCTATAATTTGTGGCAAGTTTCTTGATGTTAGATTTGAAGATTGGGATGGTAAAAAGTGTTTAAAAACAATAGGTAGGTACACATCCTTGTATGAAACATAAGTTATGACATAATGGAGTCATAAAAACTGAAAACACCATCAAAGAATCTCTTTCTGATAAAGTGTTGTGTTTATCAATTTTTCCTGTCATTTGTTGCTCATTATTTGAAAAAAAAACCATTAAGTAATTTGATTTGTTTTTATCATCGGAAATTTTTTGACCTTTTATCATCTATAATTTAAGAGCCTCACAGTCATCCAGGGTTTCAATTTTTTCTGTAGTTTCTATTATTAGATATGTCATCTTCATCGGTTATAACGTCCAGGGCAAGCGTCGAAATTCACATCTTCTCTACCTTCTGTACCACTTGTGAACATTTTTCTGACTCAAGAGTACAATCACCGTATGCCACTGTCAACATTTCAAGTGTTTTTGAGCACGTGATTCCATCAACAAACTAAACATGCTTAACGGCTGAATCTGTGAACATATGTTCGAGACAAGTGTGCTAACAAGAAAATATATAAATCGCTAATCGAATGTAGGTAGCCAGCGAAATGTAAACATTCATCTTACTTTTGGAACAGACCTCGTATTCACTAAGTAAAAGAAGATGAGTAAAAAAACAATAAGTTGATTATATAATATCTGTTTATTTCAAGATAATACATATTTCAACAAATCAATAATCTGTTCTAAAATCTATATGATGATAATCATCTATCTACCTTTAGTCATAATTTACATTCTTATATACACTAGGAAATAAGACGTTTCCTAATCAAATTATACATTATATTGCTCATGAATTGACGTCATCAAGCAAATAAAAGAAGGTCGTTTTTGTTCTTGATTTGTACAATTGAATAAAATCCAGAATAATCTGGTCAATAATTTGAAATTTAACTGCACATCAGAAAACTCGTAAACCATAAAAATATTTTTCAAGGTAAAAGAGAAACCATCACATTCTTGACCGTCTCTTGGCCATACCGTTTCTTAGACAGTATTGCAAATCTTGGCTTTAGTTAAAAATAATTTCTGAGTACACTAGAACTATCATAACATGTAAACTGTTATTCACTAGTCAAAAATCTTTCAGAAACTACATGGTCTAGTAATGAATTGAATTTATGGAATGAGTGTATAATATAGATAAAATCATGTATATTGGTCCTTATGTGAAATGTATTGCTAGATTTTTTAAATATTATCTACTATCTAAATCATTTGAATTGACAAAAAAATAGGGATTCTACAGTATAATACAATATATAGTTCAATATCGCTTAATGAAAGAAACTTTTCATAAGGTTCAGAGTAATCACTTTTTAAGCCACTACGTTCAGAAAATAATAAGAGGACATTTGCACAATATCCTGCATTTAACTCCATCCAAGCGATTCGTGATAATCTTGGAAAAAGAGGAATTAAAACTCAATGTTAAAACTCAATCGTTGTAATACTTTTTGCTAGCTGCATTTGGACGGTACTTAGTTATTAGCAGGCAACAGAAACCTACTCATCTAGTCATAAAACTTACTTGGAAATCAAAAATTCCAACATGAAATAGAAATAATGATGATTATTTGTAGGAGGACGTATGTACTTCGGTTTAATAATCTCAAAAAATGTCAAAACAAAAATTTTACATATAAGGCATAAAACAAGACAATTCCTTTCACTAGAAGAAGTAATGATTTCCAGAAGAAAATTTCATATACTGACTAATTGGTCTATACTTATCATACTGAAAAAACTATCACATATTATTTGTTCAGAGGTCTTTAAGCATATTCAGTATCAAGCACGATAATTATTCAATTAGGTCCACAAGTTTCATTCATTCAAATTGAACAATGGTCATGAATGTATAAAATTATATCGTTTCTATATTCTGTAATTTTTCGACATTTTCAATGACTATGAGCTGAAATTTGGTTTTTTGAATAGAACCTTACTGTCTTCCAATTTTTTAATATTTTCAAAGATGGAAAGAACTGTATAAAATTGATTTTGGGTAAGGTGAGTAATAAACAATCCAATCCTCGCTGTATATTTTTTAATTATTGAAGCTTCTCTGCTGTTGTGATGATTTCAGATATAAAAATAAAATTCTCCTGGTAACTAAAGACAAATAAATATTCCCGCAAAAATAATTTTGGGATGATATAATATTTACAAAAATAAAATGCCCAAAATTATATTACTATCACATCATCTTTATTGTGTGAATGTGAATGAAACAAATTTCAACTCATACCCTTTGGGAATCATAAGACTCGTCCACGAAAATGATTTGAATCTTAGAAACCACATGAGGCAAATGTTTAATTTCTCTCAATGCACCACCATATTAGGTGAAGACAAATTATCGATGTCCCTCTGTGCCCTGCTGATTTTACTCTTGTCCTTTGGTGTTTCTTGTTCTCCGGTCTCCATGGCAAACATTTTCATTTTCTCCTTAAAAGATAATTTCTCTGGGACTGCAGCACTTTGTGTTTGGTCCTTGCGTTGAGCCTGTTCTGCTAGACGACGCGTTCTTGGGTCCCTATACACTTCTTGAGCCCCTATGACTCCTGGAGTGGCAGTAAGCATGCCCGGAGACGAATCAGTAGGTGTCGTGGGAGATGCCAGTAATGATTCGGCTTGGCGAATAAAACTCTGAAATAGGTAAATTATTCCAAATCAAAGAACGGAAAGAACAACACTAAATTTAAAAAATCACCCCATTAATCAATTGCACAAAACCTACATATATGACTTCTGTCAATTTCAAAAACACTGTATGGAGGAAATAATGAAAAACGACAAAGAATAAACCCTGAGCTGCTCTTGATATCAGAGTAGGATAAAAGCTTTCATATGTAGAAAAATAAAAAGTCGGGTATATATAAGAGGGCTGTAAGAACGGCTATAAAAATATATTGGCCAGACTAAGCGAGCCATTAAAACTCGTTTCAAAGAACACGCATATCCGATTTCGACGACCAGAAAAATCTACTGTGGCTCGACACGTCTTTGAGAACTGCCATAGAGAAAGTGAAAACTGTCTGAAATTTGTTATGGAATTGGCCTATACTTGATGAAAATCCATAACTCAATCTAGTAACACTTTATTGTGAGATTTCCACCAGACAATTTACAAAACCGCAACACATGTTTCGTTAAACAATAGTTTGATAGAGCTATTGTATAGGGAGGAAACTCTCACGTGGAAGTTGTCCATAGATTTTCATCCAAAATCATTGATGTATATCGGAAAGTGAAAATGTACCCTGTTAGATATGAATAGAGAGTTTTAGAGCTAGAAATCAGTTTTCTTCGTCATCTAAAGACGCCAACTTGGTTGGTAAAACGCGCGCCGGGAAGGATATTGCACTTTTTGTGATTTGGAAAAGTGTTCGTTTATGTACGATTGGTTAAAAAATTCAAAATTGCCAGACAAAATCTTATTTGAGAAAGTGATCTGTCAAACCATGTTTCACAAAATATGAAAATGAAATAATCCTGTTCGATGCACACCCTGCAATTTACCATTGATGTATAGTTATAAGTGATCGAATTGAGTTTTGTTCATGTCAAAACCAGAGAGTCCAACTCAAAGCATTCATGGTCGAATACCGGAAAGTGCTGTTTCCACCCATCATAGGTCTCATCCGTGTTGCTAGACTGACCAAGAAACGCTGGACTCAACTGTGCTTGAAGGACAAGCAATGAAAATAAAGAAGGCATCATCTATGCTTTATTTTAAAGCTCAAGTTTTGACTAGTTGTCTCACAGTGCAGGATACAGAGAAACACAAAGAACAAATTCACTCAGGGGTTGAAAAGCTTGACTTCGCATCAGACTGCCTCTGGGAGCCTCGTTTATATTTGATATGCATACATTGAAACTTTTATCGATCCCATAGAAGATATCTTGAGGAAATATGTCTTCACTGTTTCGAAAATAAATTTTGACGATTAAAAATCTCTTTGGTACTCACATTCGGATCTTCCCTTATCGTTTCTTCAATCTGAAGAGTATTGGGCGGCTGAGACGGTGTAGAAATACCCCCTCCTGCAGAAACATCATTGAAAGATACCCTTTTTGTTGTTTCTTTGGTTCGCATCGACATTACTGCAAAACTAGAACCTCTTTCGGGAGGAGGAGGAGCGTTCACTACTTCTGGAGAAGGCTGTCCTTGATATTGCTGCAAGTGTTGCTGCTGATGTTGCTCTTGCTGCAGCTGGTGATGTTGGTTCCCATTATTGCTATTAACGTTAGGTTTGAGAATTGAAGCAGGTGGTATCTGAGATGGTTCTTGTTTGCTTGATACGGTTGTGGCTGTCATAGTACTAACCACAGTCTGACTGGAAACAGGTTGAGGTGCTGGTGGATGCTGTTGAGGACTTAGACTCTCCTGAAACGAAACAGGGAGGTCAGAATATTTCAAGAAAATGAACAATTAGAAAATAGAAAACAATACTTTTGCCAGACAAAAAACCTAATCTAAAGCAAATGAACTTCAAACGTTCAAGCCAGTCTCTATATACCTACACAGTAGGTTTAATGGACTGACGTCCATTATAGTAAATATCAGTTGTCAATGAATTGGAGGTTATTGATTTCCTGTCACTGGCAAGTTAGCACATATCAAATAGAACCCTTGAGTTGTTAGTGCTAAAATATATAATGCTAAAATATATTATCTTTTGTAGAAGTATACTTGAAAAGACATGTAATGTTGAGTAGGTAATCAATGTTTGTAGCTCTCATCTTAGACTTTCACCTTCCGCAGTCTGTAAAATCGATTAAGTGTGAATAAAGGGGAACTGAAAAGTTCACCCCGAATAGTTACTTAGTTACTTACTATCTACATAATAATAACATTAAAAAAAGGTCCAATTAGTTAGTAACTTGTATGTTTAATTTTACCTATCACGAAATATTCCAAACAAAACCTTTTGCTTTCTGCATCCCCGTCGACATACAAAAACGGTCAATTTGTCAAAGTCATTAATTTTTTCTCTGGAAAATAACCACTCCCTGTAGGTTAATAGACAAGTAGAAGCAAAAAAGTTTTTTTCAGTAAACGTAGTTTTCCAAAAAAATTCCGTTTTCAATAAACATGATTTGTCAGGTGAAAAGGAAATTTTGTTTTTAAAACCAAATGGGAAAACTTATCGAAGAAATATGATCTAAGAATTTTATAGGATACTTATGTTGATGTTTCGGAGGCCTCAATATGATTTCGTCTTCAGATAACAATCAATTATTTGACAGGTGTCCACCTAAATTTGAAAATGATATATACTGTCTGACAATTGATAAATGCCTATATACAGGGGGGGCACCCCATATGACACGTTCCTTGTAAACCAAACCATTACTTTTTTTGGGAATTTCTCCATTTCATCATATGTATATTGATTAAAGCTGTAGAAGGAAGTAATTTTGAAGACTACAGGGTAGCTCAAAAACTTTGACATATCAAAGTTATGTTTTTTTTTAACTGGGACATCATGTATTTCGTTACATTTTTGAATAGGTCAGGAAAAAATATGATTTCATATAAGGTACTATGTGACTAATTGTAACCGTTCTAGAGTTATTTATGAAAATGCTAGATATAATTGGAAAATAAATAACTGCCTTCCAAACGGTCACATCCCGCTAAATCAGTGGAGCAGAAAAACAAGATAAGTGAAAGTACTCGAACACCCATAGTCATCTCTCGGAGGAATTAGTCCAGTCATCACCTGAAGACGATTGTAGATACCAACAATCGAAACGTCGTGAACTAACGTGGCTTGGAATCTCTTAACTTTTTTTTATTTATATTTATTTGTATTTCTTATTTTTTGTTCAATCGTTTTAATTTTACTTGTATTTTATTTCACTATAATTTCATTTCAGGTTATTTTTGCTTAACATAATTGTTATTTTCAGCTATTTATTTTTAATTCTTCTTTTTCAGTTGTTCCGGGGATTTCAAATCATTTTATATAGTAGACAATGGAAGTCCGAACTAGTGAAATTCATCATGAAACATTGTCAATCACCTTCAAACAGTTTTTCAAATATTGACTTTTTCAAATAGTAGGTAGTTCTTATTTCATTGCATTATTTGAATCAAAATAGTATACGTAACCTGTGTTTTACTAAATAAATCATTATTTTAAATAATTAAAAATTGAATATGTCTCACAGTGATAATTTAGAAAGTGAAAATGGGCAGTCTCCTGCAAAGAAGGCAAAATCACACTACAAAACACTATCAAGTCATAAGTGAGTTAATTATACAGGGTGGGCACCCCATTAATTTTTTCGGGAATTTTCCCATTTCATTGTAGGTATTTTGTAGGTTATAGCTAGGTACATAGTACCTCAAATGAAATCATATTATTTTTCCCTGACCTAATTGAAAATGTAACTGAATACAGGTTGCTATTTGTTCTGTCTCAAGGGTCAGTAATACTCTCTTGTTAGATTAAAGTTTACACAATTTTCATAGCATATGGTATTTTTAAATTAATTATCAGTTAATTACTTTTATATTCATTATTATGAAAAATAATGCACTAAAATACTTGCTTAAAGAATGAATATTATTAAAACTGACAAAATTGTATTTCAAAATCAGCTGTTAATGAGTAGCGCACAATTGTTTTTGTTATTTGTTTTAACAGGAACGTCAAAAAATTGATTAATTATTTAATTTTCTAATGATAGTGGAATCGAGTGTAAATAATTTGAATTTTTGATTTTTGTATTTAATGAAAATAAATGATTATTTCATAAACAATTATCATTTTCTAATCTCTTTTAAAACATTTCAAATTGAATGTTCAATTATTATTGAAATTTTATAATGAAGATGATACTTTGCCTCATTATTGTTGGGACATTCTGTGTTTTCAAGGAATCAATATTCCATTGCTGAACGCGATAAAAACATCAATTTGTTATCTGCTCCATTGAAATGATACGATCTATTTATATAACTTTAACTATACAATACACCGTTGCCAAATTTCATGCAGGATTCGCGTTTAATTTTTAGAGGTAGCTTTTATACATTGTCACGCATAAAGTTAGCGACATATGGAAGTTTTCTTTATTAAAAGATATAATGAAAATTTGACTTCGCAGTTAGTTTGTACTTGAAAAATGAGTAAAAAACCTGCCAAATTGACATATTTTTCGAAAATCCTCAAAAAATCAGGTTTCTCAGTTTTCAATTTTATACCCTTGTTCGAAATTTAGACTCTCTACTGTCACTTCGAAAAAACTAGATGAACTTTGCAATAACAAAGACGAGGTTATGGAGCTGTATTTATTTCTTTTTCTGGTAACAGGCTAATGCGGGTTATTTTCTGGGCAAGATATGACATTGAAGTCTGGTATTCATCAAAATTATGAAATTTTCAATCATGTTTCGTCGAATCAATAGAGCGTAATATTCAAAAAATTTTAAAAAATGTAAAATTGTTGAATTGACAGTAGAGCGTCCAAATTTCGAGCAAGGTATAAAATTGGAAATTGAGCAACTTTTTTCTGTGGCATTTTTCGAATTGTACAAAAAAAATGATTTTTTGAGGATTATCGAGAAAAAATGTCAAATTTGACAGGTTTAGAGTAGCACATGACAAAAGGAAAGAGGCTGTTTCTTACTCATTTTTCAAGCTCAAACTAACTGCCAAGTCAAATTTTCATTATATCGATTAATAAAAAAACTTCCATATGTCGCGAACTTCTTTCAAATTAATCAAAAAATGAATGAAAAATGAAAAAGATTCTATTCACAACCTGAAAAACGTTCTGCGATTATTACTTGAATTATTTTAGGAAAACTGTGAGTATATGAACATAATCATTTTGGAATCACAGAAAACTATAATTAGGTATAGGTGATTATTTACGAGGCTGTTAAAAACGTTAGGTGAATTTTCATTTTCCTAAAAAATATTTATTTAGTCATCAATTTCTATTTTGTTCCCTCCAAAGTAGATCCCCTTAGATATAATACACTGTGCCAGCGCTTTTTCCAATACTCGAAATAGTTCTGATAAACATTTTTAACATGCTTTTATTAACTTCACCTGTATGTATGTAGGTTTTTTTTTGTTTGTTTGTAACTCTCAAGCTCGGGATCTGTATTTGACAGAATTATCGACATTATTGCTTGATCTATTCGCGGGCAGATGGCGCTGTACGTAACCTCGTTGATATAATTCGAACTCACTTTACATATATTTATTCATTTGGAAAAAGGTATTTTTTTTATTAACACGCGCGCCTGCTTCATTATTTGTATCCCTCCTTTGCGCGCCTGCTACCTTGGGCTTAGTGGCTGATTTTCAGGCTCCCTCTCCGGAATCGTAAAATATCAATCGTTATTTTTCTTAACAATATACGGCTGATTGATCCCAAAGTTTAGATAAAATTAATATAGTTTTAAAAAAACACGCTTTTATGGCATACGAAACTAAAAAATGAAAAATAAATATAGTTTAATAACTTTCTTATTAGTCAGTGGGCTATGCTTGAAGACTGGCAGTAAACAAATCTAAAGAAATGAACTTTAAACGTTCAAGCCAGTCTCGAATATACCTACACAGTAGGTTGAATGGACTGACGCCTATAAGAAAACAACTACTCCCCTGGCTCTGTGTTTTATTTTCCGTACAAACCGAATACCAAACATGGTCTAAAATAGGATACTCCGATTTAAAAAATTTACCTCGTTCTACAGAAAGACATTTTAAATCTAAGGAGCATATATTTTTGTCTTGTAAATTGAAATTGTTTAGCAAACAAAATATAGCAACCTCTTTAGATACAGCTCAAAAAGAGGCCATAATTTTTTTTAATAATAAGATTAGGGAAAATCGGTCGAATTTAAAAAGACTTACCGATATAACGAATTATTTGGGTTCGCAAGAATTAGCTTTTCGCGGATACGATGAAACCGAAGATTCGATTAATCGCGGCAATTACAAGAAACTTTTAATGTTGTGGGGCAAATATGATTCACAATTTAGCACTTTTTTAAACGGTAGCGTTTTTTTGGACACCTCAAAAACATCACAACTTTTAATCTGGGCGAACAGCTGACGATTTGTTTAATTTTTTTAATTCGTACGTGTGACACCTATAATTTTAGGCGAAAGTTAATTGCGCAAACCTATGATAGGGCTGCGGTCCTGGCCGGCCATTTAAATGGTTTACAAACTAACATAAAGTCTATAGCTCCTCATGCACTTTTTACGCATTGTCATGATCATGCCCTAAATTTAGTATTAAGCAAAGCGTGCAACAACATAAAAATGTTCGGGCCTCCGGCGGGCTTTTCTGTGTGTAGGTATATAGTCTTTATGACTTTAGCCTTCCTGTTCTCCAATGCACGAGCCGTCACTGCAGCTAAATATTATGGAATAGGGCTATTTGAGAAATCAGTTGAGTTCTCTTCATAGACAGTGCGATTTATGTGAATATATCAATATTTTGTTTATTTATGTAGGTATGCATTCATTGTAGCTGAATGACTTTGAACTCGAAATTTCGACTCGTAAACTCGAAATTACAACTTTATACTCGGAATTACGACTTCAAACTCGAAATTACGACTTTAATATCAAAATTTCGACTATAAACTCTAAATTGCGAATTTAAACTCGGACGGTAAATTTCACTTGGAAATGTAAGTTTGGATGCATAATATACATTCGTAATCACTTGCTGACGGTTCACTTTTCAGTTATGGTTCGACCTTCACGTAGTGAAGTGTTTCTCCTCATAGCCGGGAATTCACATGTGTTGTTTGTAATCATATCGTTAAATCATCCGTATGCGGCTATCTAGGTAACATGGGAAATTGTTTTAAGCCTGCTAATAATAGTGAAAATAATGGCAAAGGAACTAACAGACGTGCAAAAAACACAGTGGAAAATAGGCAAGAAACAGTACATTATGGCGTTGTTCACTTAGACGTAACTGCAACAAGGGAACTATCGGGAAGTGATGACCGAAAGTCCAAATCAATACCTGCCAATGTTCAAACAAGTAGTGTACAAAGAGAATGGCAGCTGAATCGATATAATTCTGCTGATTACAAAACGCAAAAAGAAATTGCTGATAAAAATAAACTAAACGAATCTATTGAAAAACAAAAAGCTATTCAAATCCAAAAACAGCATTTCAATCAGCAGAACAAGCAAAAAGAAATTGCTGATGCAAAAAAATGGAAAGAAATCGTTGGAGATCAAAATGCCCTGGGAATCAAAAAACAGAATTTTAATCAGCCGATTCGGCAATTCAGAGGGAATTTATGTCATCAATTGAACAATTTGACTTTGAAGCCGCCTGAAAAAATAATAAAGAATCCAGAAATGATAGATAATTTGTTATTTATTACCAACAAATCATCATATTATTCTCATGTGACATACCAGCTGGAAAATTTGGATCAGTTCTCTTCAGACTACCAGAGAGTCGAGAGACTGTTTAGAGCTACCAATAAGCGATGCTTTACAGTTCAAAAAATTGAAACAATTAACAATCCATATTTATTGCTGCAGTACAGTCTGAAAAAATTACAGTATTTGGCAAAATATGGCCGGAATGTAGAACATGAACTCTTTCACGGTACTAGAAAATCCAACATCGAAAGTATTTGCAACAATAATTTCAACTGGAGATTGAGAGGTAAGAAAACAGTATTGAAATTGAAAATTAAACACCATAGAAGTCTGGCCCTTAAATATTTATGTAAATTATCTCAAAAACATGTTTAACATTTGACCTGAGTCAATATACCCTCAGTGGTGGATCCAAGGGGTTGAAATTCGAACTTCAAATACCAAAATATTTTATATTACGTTCTTTCGTCAACGCAACTCTCAGCAATGAAAGTGATTAATATTTTAAATAATTGAAATACTAGTTAGTTCTGATTTTTGTTATGTAACTATATAAGGTAACCGACCAGTCATTGCCACTATAAGAAGTTTAAAGGCAAAATACATGGTATCCGAAAATACCAATTATTGCCACTAATTTTTTAACAAAACCAATGGTTGCCATCCCAATTATTGCCATCAATCAAGCATAAATTAGCAGCTACATTTTACTTACTGATAAAACATTTTTATTATTAATCATTTATAGAAAATGTTTATAAAAGACAAATAAGCCATAAAAATAATAACAAAAATAAAAAAAGGAACTGAAAAAGGAACTCTCACAAAAAATATTTTTGATTTCAAAATTGATATCAAAAATTAAAAGGAATCTATACTTCATAAACATCTACTGGTGATGTGACAGAAGACTCTGAATCAATTTTATCTGTATTGTTATTAGCACTAATTTTTTTGAAGTGGACATTTTTAACATTCAACGGATGTAACCCGGAAGCCTTGAACCCATTTTAAATAGTTTCTTCCAGTAATATGAGACAAAGCCTTCTCAAACACCACAGCAGAATTACACTTTTGAGGTTAGTGCCATAGTTATCCATACGCCACTTATGTACTTCATTTCTGAATGCCAGTTTTAAGGGCCTGAAAACAGATACATCCATTGACTGGAGTAAATGCGTGGAATTTGGGTATATAGATTTGGAGATATAGCCGCTGGAATTCTTTCACATGCCAAAACAATCATTGACGGAGCAATTTTTTCAGCAGCATTGGCTGTAAGCAATACCGTTACGTTTTCTTTCTAGTCTCCAGCAGAACGGTAAACATTTTTACTTCCTTTTGTGGCCAAAACCTTACCCTCTTTTAGGGATAAATAGAATGCGCTTTCATCAGCGCTGAAAATTCTGTTTGGATTTCTTGTGATATCAAACAAGTGTTTCGACTCTAGGTATTCTTTTATCTCAGCAAACCAATTTCGAATTTGATTTTCAGTCACACTCTCTCGACTTGCGAGTTGAATTTTGTGATACTCTGGGAGATTTCGGGATGTCTATTTAAAAAAGGCGGAACCATTTGTCACTGGGGCGGTTCTTCATGAATGTTTTAGCCTTTGTAGAATTTGTGATTTTTTGAACGGTATCTAAAAGTTGCTCCTTTGACACAGGAAAATGCCTTTTAGACAACTTTATGATCCAGTCTACAAGAGTGAACTCCTCTTCTCAAGGTACTTCGGGGAACCCCATATTTTTTGGCTGCAACGGCTGCAGGAATCGGCTAGTGCTTTGGACATTTGTTCTGTCGTATAGTCCCGTTTGGGAGCCATTTCTGGAATTAAAAAAATTGTTTGCTAAATATGACCAATTATTGCCACTTGCAAACCAATGATGGCCACCAGTGGCAATAACTGGTTAAAGTATTATGTATGCAATGAAATAAATAGTGGCAACATTGCAATCTTAAATGCATTATTCCTAAAATATAGGTAGTAAAAAATATGCAAAACCAGTGATAGCCACTAATGGCAATAATTGGTTGTTATAATATTTTGTGATACCAGTTATTGCCAGGCTTGTTTTTTAAGGAAAACATAACCCTAAAATAATCAAAATACAAAATATTTATACTCTAAGGTACCTAAAATAAGTAACAATACACAAGTATACAAAAATTTTTTGTTATAAATTTGTACCAAGAATTTAAAAATGTGCTTACCTTAAAATTTTCACTGCAAAAACGAGAAAACACATCGGAATTTCACACTGTCCGATAACATGTGGTTTACAACAAAATTGGCGTGAACGAGAGCTTGTGCAATGGTACATAGTTGCCAAATACTATTGGTTACTAATAATTGCAGCAAATAATATACTATTTTGAAATGTTTCCTTAATCTTTAAGTTTTTGTGACGAAGTGGCAATGAATGGTAGAGTGGCGACGACTGGTAGTTTACCTTATGTATTATGAAGACTTCTGTGATTTAGATTTAGTCTCCGAGTAAGTTTTCATACTTTTAAAGAATACTCAATAAACTGTAGTAAACCTGGCCTGGTTGTGGTCTGATAGCATTCAAGGAATGTAACGGAGATATTTTCCAATAATCAAAATGCTTTTGTAGATATTATGTACACTTCCAGATAGTATTCCATCTGGTGGGTCCGTTTTCCTATTGAATATCAAAATCCTGGCTTCGGCCGATTATGACACAGGAGATGATTATCTGGTCTTGTCAATGTGAAGAAACTATTGAAGTTATTCAATTTTACCTATTCTCATAATCTGAATGTTGTTTTATTTGAATTTTTTTTCTATCTTGAATATTTTTCATTTCTATTATCTACCTATAGTACGGAACTTTATATTTACCCATTTTATATATTTTAATTCTATGAATAACCAGTCGTCAGGATTCGCCAGTGTATAAAAAGATTCAAAAATAATATCGGATTTTTTATTCGATGGAAGCTAAAAAATTAAATTTACTTTTTCTGGACGAAAATTTAAAAAAAGATTGATCAAACTATTCGTTATGAGTAAATTTTTCATTTCTGATCGGCAAAGTTGCACATTTACTTGACTAAATATGCCTTGAGAAAGTTCTGAAATTTCGAGTGCATCCGGAGATATCCGGAAAAAACTGAAATTTCGGATAATGGTTTTTATTTTCTTCTGGCTTTATTTTCCAACGAATTCGAAAATAAATTGCACTTCCACGTTGCCACTTTTTCCCTGCTACATAATGGTGTAGCAGGGAAAAAGTGGCTTTTTTTGAAAAGCCAAAGAAAAAATACGGAGACAGAACTAACAATCAAAATTTAATAAATGAGGTGTGTATAAGGTAAATTAGACATTGTGTCCTTTTCAATGAAAATAGAACTTTGATCAAATAACAATAATTAACTTGAATTGAAGGGGTTATATTTTTTAGGAGTGATTAATTTTTGGGAAAGTTTTTGGCTTTCTACTACTCCATCTTGATACAAAAAAATGTGGGAATCTTCCAAAGGAAGGAAGGAAGTAATGAATTTGAAAATGAGTAACTCTATACATAGATGTGTAGATCATACAAAGAAATAACTAACCTATAACAGGAGTGAATGAATGTCATTTCGATGTCATCGATGACATGAGTAGATCAAACTTATTCCGTGACATTAAAAATCGTAATTCATGAATGAATTGTGTGTTGTTTCGTATAATGTTATCCAGATTTTGGTACTGAAGAACCCTAAGGTGAAACATCGATGTCTACCAGTGAGATTGGCAGTGTTCCATGTAAGTGCAATTTGTTACCATTCATTTAAAGTAGAACTCCTGTGAATGATATCTGATTTTATTCCATAACGAATGTTTGGAATACAAACCGAGTAGAGAAAAGTATCTTCTGTATAATTCAGTGTTCAAAAGTATTTGTTTCGAAAGATTTTTTCTTTCGTGTAATTCAATGTTTATATGAAAGTAGCTTTCTTCCAGTTTGTGTCTGAAAGTTATTTCTTTGCATGATCTACACATCCATGTATAGAGTTACTTATTTTCAAATTTATTACTTCCTTCCTTTTTTTGGAAGATTCCCACATTTTTTGTATCAAGATGGAGTAGTAGAAAGTCAAAGCAGTAATAACTTACCCAAGCCGAACTCTACTTTAGTGAAGGACTCTATTGTTTATAATGGTTGCAAGATGTTCAGTCACTTACCTGATTGTATAATAGAAATTAACACATTAGATAATTTTAAAAAGGCTGTTTACTTCTTACTGTGTAGTCGCCTGTATTATACTTTGGAAGAATTTTATGCGGATAGCTTTTAATCTGATTATTTTCTATTTTATTTACTTATTTTTTCTCTCATTGTTAAGGATTTTAATACTATATGTTGACTGACAAATTGTACCTTTTAGCATTTAGTGTTTTATTTATATAAGAACTTTGTCCACAAGAATTCCTTGTTCTTTATGACAATAAAGTATTGATTGATTGAAATCACAGCAAATGCTCAAAATGCTGGCCTTGTTCATGATAACACAACTGTGCCCTTCTTTGAATATTATTCACTGCACGATTAATTTCCCTCCTTCTCGATCTTCCGAACTACCTAACAATGCTGGTCCTCAATATTTTGATATTCCCTCTGACCATAAACTCTTTTTCAGTGTACCTCATAAGAATGTATCCATAACATTTAGGTCTGGAGACCTTGCTGGCCACCTCTTCGGCCCATTATTTCCTATCCATTCATTACCAAACCTTTCAGTCGGGTAATAAGATACTCGTCTGGTAGTGTACGGTGGAGCACCATCATGTTTAAACCAGATGTTGTTATAGTTAGCCAAAGGTAGATCATCCAAATAGTCTTCGAAAATCGACATTAAAAACTGGTGATAGGTTTCTCTATTCAGAATTCCATCAAATGAATGAGGACTCAAAGTTCCATCTTGTAAATTCCTGCCCACACATTAATACTGAATCGCACTTGAGGTCGAATTTCTCGGAAATGGCTGCGGTTGTTTATGCTCTAAATGTGTTCGTTATTTCGGTTGAATATTCCACAATTCGTAAAAGTGCTTTCATCTGTCCAAATTACATTTTCCAGGAAAATCAGGTCTCAGCCAATTACAAAATTCCAATCGCCTTTCGGGATCAACTGGATGCAATTTTCAAGATATGTGTATTTTGTAACATTTTAAACAGCTTTTTTTGAGATGTCTCCAAGCACTTGTATGACAAATATTCATTTCGGAGGAAATTTGACGTGCAGATTTCCCCGGGTTCATGTTTATCTGCAAATTATTAAATTTTATTGAAAAGGGCACAATGTCTAACGTACCTCATACATACCTCATTTATCAAATTTTCTTTAGTTTCCTGGCCCATTCTGTCTCCGTATTTTTTCCTCAGCTTTTCGAATGAACCAAACTCGATGAGATTTTGATCCAATAACTTGAACACAGTTCGATGTGGTTGTCGTCTTTCGGAATACAAGTTTGAATACAAATCCGATGTTCTAACACTGTTTGTATAGTATTTGTAATAAATTTGTATCATATCTCGTTTTTTTCATTAGTGAAAGCCATTTTTGTCAAAAATTCAATGACTTGTACAATAAGAAAATGTCATTTAGTGTAACAAATTGAAATTCAAATTTATAAACATCAAAGTCAAAGCCTTATTATGATAAGAATGAATTTTTTTCATTATCTCCAATTTTTCAAAAAAAAAAGATAACTTATGATGATACATCAATGAAAAGGTAAAATCTGGCTCTATTCAAAACAGAAAGAATCCAATTTAGCGCCCATAAGAAAAAATAAAGTTGATGATGGTGGCCGGAAGGCGAAATGTCGGATAGCAAATCTAAAAACACCATTTCCTTTGGAAAATAAAGACAGAAAAAAATAAAAACCATTATCCGAAATTTCACTTTTCTCCTAATATCTCCGGATATACTCGGAATTTCAGAACTTTCTAAACGACAATTTAACCATCTTCGTATCTCTCATAGTTTCCGAGATCCCAATGGTGATACATGAAATTCATGAGATATTATATATAAGAATAAAATGATCCCAGACTTGGTCTGACAAAAGGTACAGGATATCTTCAAGATTGCAAAGTTTGATCGTTGATAGTCCCTTTTATGTCCTAGAGACATTTAGAGGACATCATCATTGAAAAATAAATTAGCATTTTAATTTTTTCTGCATTCTTTCTAGAGCGAAAATAAAAAATGTTGTATCAAGAGTTCGATCCCCTAATATCTTATCAACTTGGACATAATACAATATTACCCCAATATTTGTTATTCTATTATAAATACTATATTATTTTTATATCTCATTCAAATACATTATTTTTAGGTACTGCAAAAGGACATAAATTTGGGCAAGGTATTTCTCTCACCCCCATATCAAACTATGCAACACACTATGGAGACGATGGATATAACAAGGTGATGTTCCTTGTGAAAGTGCTTATAGGGAACAAATGTCTAGGAGCCCAACATATGAATATACCTCCGAAGCATTACGACACAACAACAAACGAAAAAGAACATGTTATTGTCAAGTACGAAGATAATGAATTTTATCCTGCTTACTTGATATATTACGGGGGTGTTGATATGAATAAGAATAATCAAAGAGGTGGCAGACGTGGATATAACAGAAGGTATTGAAAGTACTTTTCTGAGATTTTAAAGTTACTTCAAAACATAATGTTACAAATATTACTATGAATAAAGCAATATTTTTTGACGTTTTTATGGTAGGATAAAAATATAAGAACAATAAAGATTTTTTCACTAACAGTTCGATTTCTTCAATTATTATCAGAATTGAACACATTCTCTTCCAATCACAATTATATAAATTGTTATTTTTCCAATTTTATTCAAAATATGTCTGCAGACAGGAATTTATCTGTCTCCAATTGTTGTTAGCAAATATGTACCCATCCTTGTTCCTATATATTATCTTCGCCGAACTGACAGGTGTCTGTTCTGGGATTTTGGACTATAACAAAACAACATCAAAACAATGTCTTAACTAGGTGACATGTATACAAGACCTATTTGCAGAGTATAAGAAGAGACAAATTTTAAGATTCTTTGTAGGTACTGAAAAATACACGTGATTTTGGGTGTGGGAAGGGGGGAGAGGGTTAGTCTTAAACCTCACCACCTATCACCAAGGGGGAAGGATGGGGTTAATAAATGCTAAAAATACATCACGTGATTAATAGATGGCTCCTAAGCTGCTGATTTTTTTGGAAATCATATTACAAATTAGTATAGAGGTATAATCGAATTGGAGTTCTTGTGAATGGTAGGAGATAGATAGTCAGTTTAACTGTGGTAAAGCTGACTATTTTAGAGTAGTATTTTGTTGAACGATACCAAAAAGTTTCAAATTAAAATTTTTTACTGTATTTTTTTTATCTGTAGAGGTAATTTGTACTTAATCATAGAAACTCTCAATAACCTAACGGAAACTATTCACAGAAATTATATACAGATTTTTAGACCCAGTCTATCCTCAACTTTGAAATTTCATATTGGAACCCTTACGTCTATATTGATTTTTATGCGGTAATATTCATATAATACTGAGATATCAAATTGATCTTGAAGTTCCTGAAAGTTTGGGTAATTTAATGATCATCAAGAAACGTTTTTATATTAGGCTACTGATAATTGCTCACATGGAAACACTATGTACACTATGTTCCACAGCTGATTCTCAAAAAATTTTTTTTTGCACTCAGTTGCATACTTGAAATGTATTGATATCAACACCTCAAAATTACCAATGAGATTTTTCTGCTAAATCCCCCACCTCCATTTCCCACTCTCTTGGTATTCAATGAACACTATTGCTAAGCCCTCTTGTGAAAGTCAATCAGTGATAAAAAATGCGGGTTGCTATGAAAAATGAATTTTTCTCTTGTTCAACTCTTGAACTTTATCTCTCACTTTTTACAACGAATTAATTCACCTGTAATGAATCAATTGTTTATCTCTATGTTCTCTTGAACTGATTGAGATTTGGTTGTTACGGTTCAATTTAAAAATTTTGACTTTGTGACTATTTTCATATGACTTTTCTGCAGATTGGTGATCCTTTATTCACGTTTGACCCGCCTATGATTATTCCAATATAAAAACAATAAAGCGATTTTGTATTGTTTTCTTCAAAAACGAAAGTTTTGACGGAAACCAATTCAGTAGTAGTTGATTCCTAACTGAAGTTTTGCCTAGTCGAATTATTTCGTTGGTTAATTACCTAAAAGGGATTTTGAAATTTTTGGCTGAGTGTGGTATCTTTTTGATATTGTGTGCTTTAGAGCATCTTTTAGTATTAAAAACCATAGCTGCAAACGCAGAATTTATACCAGGCAGATAATAGCATCTACATCTCCTATCAACTTTCCAAGGAAAATCACCATGAAAACACCCTCCATTGTCAGGAGGTTAGTATAATCTTTTCGTGCAACTCAACTCTCAACTTCTGAATTTTTTTTCACACTATTCAGGTAATAGTCCTGTCAAATTAGACTAAAAAATAAGAGTGAAGGTACATAAATTTACAAGCTACAAATGCGTGTAATTGTTCAAAACATAGTTAAAAATAAGATTTTAAAATTCCGAATAATTACGATGCCTGGAAAAAAATATATTAGAGGTCAAAGGTCAAAAATCTCTGAAGTTGTAATTTAAGTAAAAATATTTTTCTATTGGTATACATAAGTATAAATATAAGAATATCAGGTAGAATGAAATCCAGTCCCTTAATTTGTACACTAGTGTAACCTTGAGCCGACATCTGTCTCCCTGTTCAATTGTGTGCGTGGCTAGGGTCGTTTATAGTATGCATGCAATGAATACAGTGTGTGAAAAATCAGAAGATCTCGCTAATGTTAGGATGGATACGAACGAGCAGCAAGTTGATGCGAGTGACTCAATAGTATGCTAAAGACATCCGAAATCTCAGAAACGGTGGCTCTAAGAAAAAAAAGTATCAATACATTTTTTGTAGAGAATTTTATGATCTACAATTTTTATCTGAGGTTATTTTATGATAAAACTTACCGTTTTCTGAAAATCGCGAAAAAACAATTTTTTTCGAGATTTTTGACCTTTGACCTCGAATAAATTTTTTCCAGGCATCGCAATCATTTGGAATTTCAAAATCTCATTTTTAACTATGTTTTGAACAATTACACGCGTTTGCAGCTTGTTGTAAATTTATCTACCTTCCAATGTCTAGATTGACCGGATTATAACTATTATCGTGACAAAAAATATTTTCTTCAGGGTGTTAAGCTATCCTCTTAGAAAAACGTATCTGCAAGCTGAATTCAAATAAATTGGAAAAAATTGCTTGTTTCAACGATTTCTTTTTGTGGATATATCGTCGAATATCCAAGGCGTCAGTATCACCAGACTATTGTTAGAGCAGTCTGCACCCCTTGCAACGTTATAAAGATTACCAAAAAAGCAGCCAAGTTTAGGCCAAGTTCATTGAAAAAAAAACAAATGAAGAAACTTGCTTGTGTTTATATTTTTGCTATACTGCAATTACCTGATTGCGATAAATGGTGTGAGCTTGAAATCCGAATAAATTGTCTTTATTAGTAGTATACTTCAGATTCAGATATTCATTTTTTTTATACGATAGTAGATACCCGCATCAACAGGGCAGTTTTCCGGTTTTTATCTGGTCAAGAAAATTTGGTGGTGCTCCCCTTTTTTTTGAATTATTGCACTCACGATTTACTGCACACCGCTGACCTAATCAGGTTTGTAATTTTTCTATATCTTGAACAGAAAACCCATGTAGCCTGGTGTAGAATATTCATAGTAATTTCATGAGAACTCAAAAAAATAGCTAGCCCAAATATTAGATCTTTATTACCATCAATTAATGATGTTAAATTACTTACAGTGAAAGAGTCGTGAGAACTAGTAGTGATATGTGAACTTTGGCTCAATAGTCAAATTCCTGATAATGTTATTGATTTAAATTGGTTCACACACACACACACCCCAACAGGAGCTTTTTGTAATCGTTAAATTAGAAAAAAATAATCAATTTGCGGGATGAAGTCAACATCAGTTTTTTTTTCATACTTTCATAAACTATAGTACTTACTAAACACCGCGATAGCCGAAAGAAGGGTAGAAAAAAGTTCATATTGTTCAAACTTCTGAAGGTTGAAGAATATGGAAAAACCACCATGGAAATGAATGGTTGGATACTAATACATTTCAGGTATGTGTTGCTTTATTTTTCCGTCCAATGAAAATATTTTACTATTCACAAACTGATCGCAAAAAAAAACAATAATCCCACAATATTTATGCCTACTGCCTACTATCAATGAAACAATCTCTCTCACCTTCTCCGTATCATCATCCCCTTCTTCAGCAGACGCCTCCATCGCCCTCCTTTGGAATTCCCTTTCAAGCTGCAACACCCTCAGCTGTTCGTCTTGCTGTGGGCTTCTGTAAGCCATCGAGGTTAATTCTCTTATCTGTTGTTCTTGCCATTGCCTGGCTGCTTCTCTTCTAGCTTCTTGTTGCCTTTCCTGTTCTTCTCTAGCCCATGGGTCCCTAGGAGGCTTACTAGATTGTGAACCTGTAGTGGGGTAAAAGGCCATTTTGGGAGGGTCCTGACTACTAGCAGAGTACAATGGGTGGGTGTTATTGGGTGGCACTTCGGGAATGAGCTCCTCCTAGAATAGGTAAAATATTTTTGAAATAATCAGCTTGAATATTTTAGCAAAATAAGCACTGTTCCCAAACACAAGAATTACAACACTTTACTCGACGTGCGTCTGCAAGAGATTAGAACATTACCCAAATATTTTATATACAGGTCAGTTCGTTTGTTAGCTGCTATTTCGAACTTGATAAGTCCTACAAAGTTCGTTAAATTAAACAAAAGTTGTCTCTTTGAAGATAGAACAGATTGATACTCTCAGATCAAAAAAATCAGTAAATGTTTGAGATATTTGCATTAAAATGAAAACGACATTTAATTTTTTGCTCTAGCACTTCATTTTCAATACCATAAAAAAATGGTAATGGAGCTTTTCACTTCATTACATTCTTGTCATATATTGTTTTGACCTATTTTTTCAATGCAAAGTTTCGTCAATTGAAATCCATCAACAAAATATATTTTAAAAACACGTATCTGTATATTTTTTTATAGATTCTGGTTGTCGTTAATATTACAAATTAATCAACAGTATTTCTTGAAGAAATTCTTTTCAAAAAGATCCCCAATACTCTAACATAACTTTTTTATTGGAATGCCAAATTTCCAAATGTAACTGGAATCTGAATAGAGCTTTCTTGTCGAAGATAACTTAAAAAAGGCAGGATCCAGCGCCGCAGGGCGGCAAAAATAGGTTAAAATTATACCATCTATGGAATAACGCATGGGTAAAAGGCGGAAAATATAATTTTGCCCGAAGCAGCGACATAGCTGGATTGGGCGCTGGCAGGATTAATATTTTTGGGAAAGAAAGTTTTTGGCTTTCTACTACTCCGTCTTGATACAAAAAAAAAGGATGAAGGAATTTTCCAAGGAAAGGAAGGAAATAATCAATTTGAAAATAACTAACTCTATACATGGATGTGTAGATCAGACACATACTGAAAGAAAGTCCTCCTGAAACAGCTACTTTCATATAAACATTGAATTACATGAAAGAAAAAAAATCTTTCGAAACAAATACTGCTATATGAACACTGAAGTATACAGAAGATACTTTACTCTACTCAGTTTGTATTTGAAACATTCGTTGTGGAATAAAAATCAGATATCATTCACATGAGTTCTACTTTGTGTGAATGTTAACAAATTGCACTTACATGGAACACTGTCATCCTCACTGGTATACATCGATGTTTCGCCTTAAGACACTTGTCCTAAGGCTCTTCAGTACCAAATTGGATAACATTATAGAAAATACATACAATTCATTCATGAATTACGATTTTTAATGTCACGGAATAAGCTTGATCTGATTATGTCATCGATGACATTGTAATGGCATTCATTCACCTATTTAAAAAACTAAATTTATTACATTCACCCTATTACAGAATGATCAACCTGGAAATAACATAATCCATATACATGACAGAGAGTGTACTAATACAACAGATTGCAATTGTGCTGTTATAGAAAGAACGAAAATGATTAAGTATCTGGGAGTTATAGTGGATCGGCATATGAGGTGGGATGACCACATAAACTATGTTGTTAAACGGCTCAGACTTTTAACAAAAAAATTCTATGAATTGAGAAATATTCTGGAATACAAAAGTTTGATCACCATATACCAGTCTTTAGCAGAATCTGTAATAAGATACTGTATTGCTGCCTGGGGTGGTACATTTAACAATTCCATCAATACCCTCCAAATATCTCAAAATACAATCTTGAAAATACTATTCAAGAAACCTAAAATATACTCTACTAAATGTTTATATAAGGAAACGCAGTTACTGAAAACAAGAGAACTTTATATCCACCAATGTTTAGTTTGGGTGTACACAAACAAACTCACACTTCAATCAACAAACAAAGAAAAACAAACAAGATTCGTTACTAGCTCTTCCATAAACATACCAACATTCAATAAAAGTCACACACAGAGATGTATTTTCTATCACGGCCCAAAATTATTCAATCTTCTGCCAGCTAACATAAGAAACAATTCCAATCTCAATAAATTCAAAAAATCCATCAAAACGTTCATTATGTCCAATACCGAACTTCTCGATTTATTCGGCTAAATATAAACAATGTTCAGCAAGCTCTTCATCATTCCTAATGTTCATCAATTCTGTAAATCAATTAACTATATTGAAGCGTGTGTATATAGATATAGGTATAAGACAGTCAATTGTATATAATTGAATACCCTGAGTGGTAGATGGAAAGCACAACACAAGTACTTTAGTTACTTAGGTGCGTCCATCCTCACACTGAGGGAAATATTAACTGTAAATATAACTGCAAAAACTGTAAAAATGATGACCTACAAATAAAAATCTTGAAAATCTTGAATTTGATTCAATCCCAGCCAAGAGGAATCTTATTGAATTGAAGGGGTTATATTTTTAGGAGTGATTAATTTTTGGGAAAGAAAGTTTTTGGCTTTCTACTACCCCATCTTGATACAAAAAAAAAGATGAGGGAATCTTCCAAAGAAAGATGGAGTAGTAGAAAGCCAAAAACTTTCCCAAAAATTAATCACTCCTAAAAATATAACCCCTTCAATTCCAATAATATTTGTATCAACACCAAGCGTCTCCAAATGTCTTGAAAATGCGTAGCTAGATCAGAAAACATTTATTATTTAAAAAGTGAGTATATCAACAAAAGGCAATAAAAAAAAGCATCATGAAGTATGAGAAAATCATAGATGAAATTCAGTGGAAATCTTGGACTTCAGAAATATATGTCTTTTGGTTGGTAAGCCATGAAATGCAAGAGTGTAAATGTCAAGTATATTATCAAATACAAAATAAGTGATTAATTCAGCATGTCTGACAGATTCTGGTCCAATGAAGCTGCTTGCAGCACCCTCCTTTGCAAGGAAGTCAGCAGCCTCATTACCTTTCAGGCCAGTATGACCAGGAATCCAGACCAGAGACAATTTGTTAAGTCTCCCTATTGAGGAGCTTCCAACGCCGCTTGACTGTCCAAGAATGCTTTTATTGACCTATGTATGAGGTTGGATTCTACCAATCTTTCCGCACACAATTCAATAGCATATATTTCCCCTTGAAATACAGTCGCATAGGTCCCTAGGCAGGTTGATATCTCTGTCCTGGGTCTGCTTTTGAAACACTTGCACCAGAACCTGAAGGTGTTCCTGATCCATCTGTGAACCAACAACTATCTGCTCTTAATAATAATAATGAATGCTTTTATTGAAAGGTTACTCAGTACAAGAGATACTAATCTAACCTAACAAATGGCAGAATTCAAAAGTCTGCGCATGATAAATCAAGGCAGAAATTGCTCTTCCATCCAACCAGTAAGAGATAACTTAATACACATTATTTGCTTGATGAAAATTAAAATGAAAAAAAAGAAGCAGAAGAAAAAGAAAGGAAAGTAGAAAAGAGAGGCAAAAAAAGAATAAATGAAAGTTTGATGTTTTATATGTGGATAATCATGTCACAAACATAATGATAAATTTGATGATTTCTACATATTTATGGTAAAAACATATTATGTATAGGTGTCAACTGATAAATGTTATAATAAAAGAAGAGAACCGGATTGTAGTATAAATCTCTTCGGATTTTTTTTGAAACTAAGTGGTGGTAGGGATTTCAATTCAATGGGTAGTCGATTATATAAGCGGGCAATGTTATAAGAAAAAGATCCTCAAAAAAGAGAAGTTTTATGTTTAGGTGCAGTCAAAAAATGTTTAAATCTCAAATTTGGATTATGTATATCGGTTCTAAAGGACAGTTTCGTGAATAGGTAGGCAGGTTTCCCAGTGGATATGACCTTATGGAATAAACTAGCAGAATGCAGTGTGCGCCTAGCATCCATGTTCAGCGACCTGAGTTGTTCCAAGTATTGAGACACATGCTCACGTCTCCTTACGCCTGTGATGAGTCTTATGCACGAATTCTGCAGTTTTTGAAGTCTCTGCCTGTCAGATTTCAAGAGTCCTGGACCATAAACAGTATCAGCATAGTTGGCATGAGGCAGTGCGTCGCAGAATAATGTTTTATTTTTTTTGCTCAAAAGATTTTTACTCGAGTATACTAATTTTAGATTCATATAACCCTTCCTAAGAATCTGAGAAACATGTGTAGTGAAACGCAGAGAATTATTGAGATGAAGGCCTAAATTTTTCGTGACATCACTTTTTGGTAATTGAACCCCATCGATGGAAATGTTAATCAACTCGGTGCAACGATTCTTTGCATTTGGCCTACCGAAGAGCATGACACAAGATTTAGTTGGGTTTACAGAGAGATAATATTTACTTGATTCAGTTATTAGAGAGTACAGATCAGGACTCATTCGTTCTAGCGCAATATTGAGTGAGTTTTCATCGAATTGTAAATACAACTGTGTATCGTCGACGTAACAATGCATGGAAATGTGAAGAAGGCAGTGTGAGAATTGAGAAGTATATAAAACAAAAAGAAGTGGACCTAAAATCGATCCTTGAGGGACCCCATTATTTATTTTAAGGGTATTCGATTTTTTGTAATTGAGTATGACACACTGAGATAACTTCCAAGCAGCGTGATCATGCTAGAGGCAAAACCCAGGTACTTCAGTATTGCCAGAAGTAGAGAGTGGTTAATACGATCAAATGCTTTGGAGTAGTCCAGCAATACTAGAAGACAAAGTTTATTATTGTCGATAGAACAATGTAAATCATCAACAACTTTCAAAAGAGCTGTTGTGCAGTTGTGGTTTGGCGGGAACCCTGATTGACATGTAGGTAATATATTGAAATCATTCAAGTAGTTACGTATCTGCAAGTTTTCAATTTTTTCAAATGCTTTAGATATGGCACACAAAATACTAATTGGGCGAAGGTCAGTTAGATAAATATTTTTTTGAATAAAATTATGCATAAGTGGCATATGTGAGATAAAATAATTGGACAACAATATAATAACATTTGTATGCTGATATTATCAGGTCCAACAGCATTAGATTTAATACCTAACAGAATGGTGTAAATTTCATTCTCGTTAGTTTCATGAAATTTGAATTTTTGTTTTTAATGTTTGAGGTATTACTCCAAATATCTGAATAATATAAAATATTGAATTTGAAAAAGACACAGTATTATTTGAACACTTAATGAGCAATTACTGACTGATTATACTGTTAAATCAATTAGACGGTCAAACCAAAAATGTCTTACTTTTCTAGATGGTTTTACAGTTAGAGGAGCATTCTTGTATGTTGGTGATAAAGGTTGCATGTGATTTGGCTGGTGTTGCTGCTGATATTGACCATGTTGCTGGCCAGTATATTGTGGATGCTGATGGTTGATACTCAGATTTTGCATACTCTGTGCATTCTGTGACATCATGTGATTATAATAGTGTTGCTGTTGCTGCAGATATTGACCCTGTTGCTGATTGTAAGGTACTCTGTTCTGTCTCCTCCTCACCTCTTCTGACATCTCTGTTATTTTGGCAACACCTCTCTGGTGTCTGTCCTCATTGCCAAGTCTGTGATGAGGTGGATGGTCTGGATTTTGTCGGAGTTGCTGAACATCGACCTTATTGCCCTCCCTGATATTACCACTGCTAGCATATCGCATCATGTCATTTTGCTGTTGGGTATGATGTTTCAACAAGTCTTCACTTTTTGAGGTACGCATCTCATTGTATCGAGACATGTCACTCTGTTGGATCTGAGCCTCTGATATACGAATGTTTCCTTGGCTGGGGTACCTGGTAATGAAGAAATGTATGTGTTACCTTCATTCTAACAATGTGTTATTCATTCACTTGAACATGTTATATTTATGACCTAATGAATGAATGATAATTCAAAAAATATTTCCATCACAATGTATAGTTAAGCTATTAAAGTGAACAATAAAGCCTTAATACCAATATGGCAGCCAGCCCCTGTAATCAAAAATATTTTGCTAGGACTATCGTAGAAAGCTTCAATTATGTGACCATTCTGTTGAAAAAACTAGATATCTATGTCATGAAATTTATCAACAATCTGACAAATACAGTTTTGAAAATTCAATAAGGAAAATTTAAATAAAGGTTGGATGGGTAATAGGATCAATTTTTCTTTAAAAAAATTGTTTTCTTGCCGTCGTTTCTAATTTAATTAAATTCTTCCTCAAGGCTCGAAAAAGAGTTTTTCGTGTTGATAATATTACTATTTTAAAAACCATCAGACATATTAGATCAGACGAATCATTCGTTTGTTTCATGTCATTTTGTGTTGGTGTTGCCTTGGAAATTTTATTGTTGCAATGTTTTTTATTTATTTTTTTTAATATGTATCTGATATTTTAGGCAAACCAAGTCAAAATTTTTCTGTAGGTTCGACAATGATTTGAAGAAACACATTATTGGAAAAAAAATCTCATAAATCTCTATAAATTTGGTAAATCTTGGGATAAATATCAAATATTTTCAGATCTCAGAGCCTGATGCAAACCGGCGTCAAAAATTTGCAATGATAATTATATTAAAAAAATTGAAAATAAGTTGACATCCATAAAGCACTTTTCGACTTTTGTAAACAAACGGGAAAATTATGGCTTTCCTGATGCTATGTACTGCGGGGATAATATCTATAAAAATGGAAGTGACATTGTTAATGTCACATATAGATAATGAAATACCAATATTAAGTTATGAGAAAATAATTGATACCAATAGTTGTAGTTTCCTTAGAAATTATTCTACAAAAATTATAAGATTGGATCCATACAATGCTAAACCACTGTTCTTATTATTTTCAGCTTCACTTAGTTTGGAAATCAAGTTATATAACGCCAATTTTCAAGTCTGGTAACAAAGCAGACATAATAATTTTCGACCGTTCAGCATATCAAGTACAATACCCAAACTACTCAAACACAACATTTTTTGTTTGGTAATTTAAGGATTCCTTTAAAACAAGTGATTATTAATGAACAACATGGATTTAGTGAAGGTAAATCTACCAATACAAATTTACTGTTGTACACCCAGTATATTTTTAATGCTCTGGAAAATAAACAACAAGTGGACGTAATTTACACCGATTTTTCAAAAGCATTTGAAATCGTGAACCAAGTTCTTGGTGAAAAGTTAAAGGCAATTGCCTTTTTTTTTTGGGAGTTTGTGATAGATCATAGTTTGTGAAAATTAAAAGATCTATTTCTCATGAGATATTTGTTAGCTCAAGAGTACGTCAAGGCAGTCACTTGGGACCTTTTCTCTTCAATATCTTTGTGAATGATATCAAAGAAAAAATTACTCATTCTGAAATACTGATGTTTGCTGACGATCTAAAAATGTTCAGGGCAATAGATTAATTGCAGGATTGTATGAAAATTCAAATGGACCTTGAATCTTTCTCAGACTGGTGTAAAGTGAATTACATGGATGTCAAAATGTGAAAGTATTTTCTTTTCAAAGTCACTCAACCTTTATACGACTAGTTATAGTATTGCAGGGAAGAAGTTGGAACGTGTACAATCTATACGAGATCTGGATGTTATGATGGATGTCAAGATGGACTTTCTTTAACAGTATAAACACATATCTAACAAAGCGTTGAAAATGAAGGATTCGTATGCAGATCAACTAAAGATTTCTTCTATTAAAATATTATACTTCGTATTGGTAAAATCAGTGATTGAGTATTGCTCTTGTATCTGGTTTCCAACTTACTTCAACCATAGTCATTATATTGAGAAAGTTCAGAACACATTTTTCAGATATGTTGCCTTCAAAATAAATACACGAAAAAAAAATCTGTTTGAAATCTGTTTTTCCCTTCGCACCCCTACGAACGACAACCCTCAGTCGAAACTTCTGTGAGCTAAGAACTAACGAGGTCTTACCTTTCAAAGTGTCATTCCTAACACGTGTTGGGCGATAGCAAGTGAAAATCTATCGTTCAGCCTAAGACTTGAACCACCGACCAACACGGCGGTCAATTTGAGTGAGTGAACAAAGCAACCACGTCGAACCGACCGGCTACCGACCGACAAAGAAACTACTTTTCGAGACCTGAATAAGACTTCAACTAAATTCGTTACGTTGGCAAGAAAACAATTGTTTTATCAAGAACAAATTGATCCTATTACCCAACCAACCTTTCTTCAGAAAAATTATTGGATAAATTTAAATTTAGACTTTTTGAAAACGAATTTTTACAAAAATTATATTCATACTTGAACTTTGCTTTATTACAAATGATCACGACATAACTCTAAAAGAATGGTGGATGTGGAATTATTTTTACTATTAATGTTTAATTTCCCTATCATCATAAAGTATATTTAACTTACAATAAAATAAAATCTTCTAGTTAAAATCTCACTAGTAATCGAAGAAAATGGTGAACAATTTCCAATACAGACTAAAAACGAATATAATCCCATATTTAAATATTACGAAATAGAATATAAATACATACATACAAATAAATACATTAAAAAAAACAAGATTCACGAAAGAGAATGACTGATATTAGGAAATAATAGTTTCGTTACTAACCTCATCATTTCATCATGCCGTGAGGTTTGTGATTGCCTAAACACATCTTCTCTAAGCAAACCACCACCGTTGTTATACCTGATATCTTGTCCTCTGTCGTCCAGCCTCAAATTCGGATTGACATGTGTTGACTGCTGAACGTTATTGGGATATGTATTATGCGTTGGGCTGTGATGAGACCCTCCATACGGTACTTTACTTGCTTCTTCTGGATTCACATAACTATTCTTCATTTGAGGTGGATAATAGCTCTGCCCATACTGAACATTAGGAAATGAAGATGTTCTGCCACTTTCATCACTGTTGTGAAGTCGGTGTGTTGAAGGAGGGCTTTTGAGATTAGGTATCGATTGATGAAGCTTGTTAGGTCGAGGGGTGGCTGATGTCGGGGGTGGATAGTAAGCGGATGAAGGGCGTTGGGAATTAGCTACTGAGGAGTGTAAGGAGTTTTGGGAGCTACGAAGAGCCGAGGTCCTGAAATTTTGAATAAATTTCTATAGTTTAT